GTGTCAGTGATGCCATCCAACCATCTCATCCTCTGCCGCCCCCTTCTCCTCCTGCCCTCAATCTTTCCCAGCATCAGGGTCTTTTCAAATGAGTCAGCTCTTCACATCAGGTGGCCAAAGTATTGGAGTTTCAGCTTCAACATCAGACCTTCCAGTGAACACCCAGGACTGATCCCCTTTAGGATGGACTGGTTGGATCTTCTTGCAGGCCAAGGGACTCTTCAGGAGTCTTCTCCAACACCACAGTTCAAAAGCATCAATTCTTTGGTGCTCAGTTTTCTTTATAGTCCAACTCTCAAATCCATACATGACTACTGGAAAAACCATAGCCTTGGCTAGACAGACCTTTGTTGGCAAATTAATGTCTCTGCTTTTTAATATGCTGTCTAGGTTGGTCATAATTTTCCTTTCAAGGAGTAAGCGTCTTAATTTCACAGCTGCATGGAGCCCCCAAAAATAAAGTCTCTCACTGTTTCCCCATCTATTTGTCATGAAGTGATGGGGCCAGATGCCATGATCTTAGTTTTCTGAATGTTGAGCTTTAAGCCAACTTTTTCAGTCTCCTCTTTCACTTTCATCTTTAGCTCCTCTTCACTTTCTGCCATAAGGGTGGTATCATCTGCATATCTGAAGTTACTGATATTTCTCCCAGCAATCTTGATTCCAGCTTGTGCTTCACCCAGTCCAACGTTTCTCATGATGTACTCTTCTTATAAGTTGAATAAGCAGGGTGACAATTTTTTCATGAATTCTTTAAGTTGTGTCTGTTTATGACATGTGAGTTCTCTGGTGCTGTTAACGTCAGGATTTTTCTGGTGATTCTGTTTAGTGAGAGGTGAGGGTCTTGAGTCTCGCAGAGTTCATTCGTTAGTTTTGTAAAGATCGCTGAACCTGACATCAGGTGTCCACTCCGACCACTGACCTTGGCTGGATGACAAGCCATTGACCTCCAGGTACAGTGTTTTCCCTTCTGTAATATGGAGGCTGCATTCTGCAGTCCATAGGGTCACAAAGAGTCAGACACGACTTCGCAACTGGACAACAACAACATGGAGATGTCATCTTTTGTGGTCGTTGTGATACTGAAGGTGGCATAAGGCACATGGAAATAGCAGCATAAAACTTAGCATGTTGTAGGCGTTCTGTTATTCTTAGCTGAACCTGCTTCTGAAAATAATAGGATAAAATACATTTGAATTAAGCTAGTTTTATTTGGAAACCTCTAATAAGGATGATTGCACTGTAATTACAGTTCAAGATTCCTGGTACACTTTAGAAAAACAAGACACAGAAAGTGGCAAGCCCTTTGTTAGCTTCAAGGAGCTGTGGCTAAGATTGAAATCTTTCTTGAGTTAAGAATGTTCATCAGAATAATTAGCTTTTTTATTTTTTTATTTTATTTTTATTTTTTTCATCTTTTTAATTTTTCATACTTTATTCTCTATATTGATAGGTTAACAAAGTGAAATCTTCCTAAGTACTGATTCACAGATAATGCTTATAAGCGACACACAAAACATTCAGTTTCACAGAGTAATATCCAGTGATCCCTTTAAATGCAGTTTTAGTCCTTACTTTCAGCTAAGTGCAAGACTAATAAAATGAGCTAAATACACACAAAACTTGTATATCCTGAACTACAAAGTGGTTTCCATAGCCACACATGGTTTTAGTCAAGTACACATTTTCACAATAAATAAATACTAACAAATATGTTAATAAAACACTACCCCAAATGCTTATCTGCCATCAACTTTTTTCAGCAATGCCATTCCTGCTACTGAAATCACTTTCAGAAGTTTTAATCTGATCTGGGGAAATGAGTTCTTTTAAAACCTGACAAACAGTATATTATAAACCCCAAAGATTTTTAATCCAGTATGTCTTCCAACAGAACCATTTATAGGAAATTCTTAGTTTCTCAAAAAATAAAAAATTAAATCACTCTTGTTATCTAAAGAGTATTAAAACAAATTATCTTAAGACAAACACTCCTACAAAAGGCTGTATTTTCTAATATCATTTTCTTCTTAAACAAACCAGTTCACCATCTTTTAATAACTTTACACTACTGTGGTCTAAAAGCTTTAGAAATATATGAAACACATCTTAGCTATCAAAGTCAAAAGGTGCCATTTAGATTTCACATATTAAACAGCTATAGTACAACCTACAATGGCACAAGTACAAATACTAATTCATCATTGAGATGGTCAAGAGTCAGAAGAAACTGAATGGCTTGCAAGCCCAAGGTACTTTGACTTACATGTGGTCATTAAAATCTAATATGTAATTCAAGTAGGGTAATGTAATGGCAGGCAATTAAAGGCTCATATATCACTCTAAAATTGAAAACGTGAAAATAAAGCCTGAAAACTTTGTGGTTCTCCATTTTTCATTCACATGGTTAGGTATTAGGCAGGGCCTTACTGTGGAAAATACAGTTATTAAGTATGGCTTCCCCAGAAGATAATGAAGCTTCAGAAAGTACAAAAGGTGTCAAGATCCGTAGTTTGCTTCATCAAATGCTTTTTTAGCACGTCTCAATTCTTCATTCATAGTAAGCAAGTCTTTAACCCTAGCAAACTTTCTTGGGTCCTTTCGAATCAAGAAGACGATATCTTCAACTTGTACCCAAGCTTGTCTTCCAATTGACATTGCCTTATGAGTCATTTCAGTGATGAACTCTATGACAAGGTCTTCATATCTACTGATTCAGTATAAGGATTCTGGTCATCTCCAAACCCATACATCATACACCGTAATTCTTTAGAAAAAAGTCTTTTACCATGTCCACCTTCTGCACCTCCTCCAGTTTCTTCATTTTCTTCCTCAAAGGTGGGATCCTCCTCTTCTTCTGCCATCCCACCAGCCAGCCACCTCTGCTAATTAGCTTTTTTTAAATGTAGCTTTGAAGTGAAGAAAAAGGAGTGTGAAGGTGTGAGCGAGAAGTCTTTGCTCCTTCTGCCCCTTTATTGTTGGCGTGGTTTGTTGCCATCCTGTCCCTGGCTGTATGACATACCCACCCAAAGGGGATTTTTTTAGAGGAGAGAGAGACAGCTTTACTGATATGTAATTCACATACTATACTCTTCACCCATCCAGAGTGTCCAGTTGAGTAGTTTTTAAGCGTATTCACTAAACTATGTAGTTATCACAACAAGTGGTTTTAGCACGTTTTCGTCACCCCAGAACGAAGCTCTGCCTACCCCCTCTATTTCTCTCCAGCACTCCCAGCTCTAGAACTAGCCTGTTGCAGCCCTTTCCAGTGAATGGTGGGCTCCCCTGGGACTGGCCCTTCACTCCACACGATGTCGTGAAGGCTGTCTGCTTTGTAGCACAGTCAGTGCTTCCTTCAGCACGTCATTCCTTTTTATTGTCTGATCTGCTCCACTGTGTGCACCACCTTCAGTTATCATTTGTCAGTTGATGGACATGTGGGTTGTTTCCACTTTCGTCTGTCATAAGCATTGCTTCTGTGAACGTTTGTGTGTGGACTGATGTTTTCATCTCTCTTAGGTATGTGCCTTGGTGTAGAATTTGGGGTCATACAGTAACTGTTTAACCTTTTGAGCAGCTGCCACACTTACCCAGAGTGGCTTTTTATACAGTTTGCCACTTGTACTGGCAGTAAATGAGGGGGCCAGTTTCCTGCATCCTCCCTAACATTCCTTAGTCCTCGCTTTTGATTCTAACCAGCCTGGTGGGAGTAAAGTGCTATCTCATTTGTGGTTTTGATTTGTATATCTCTGATGTTTAATGATGTTGAGTAGCTTTTCAAGGGCTTATTGGCCATGTCTTTTTTTAAATCTTCCTTGGGGAAGTGTCTATTCAGATCTTTCGCCCATTTTTACTTGAATTATTAGTCTTTTTGTTATTGAGTTGTAAGGGTTCTTTATATATTCTAGATACAGATCACTTACGAGGTGATGTGTATATTCCAGAGTTTGTCTGCCTTCAATACACGAATCTAGTTACAGTGATCATCCTGACTGACTCTGGGTCCAGCCCTACAGTGACAACTCCATGTGGATTATTTCTTCTGATCTTCATAATAACCCAGAGGTAGAGACTGTGTATTACCCTCAGTTTACACATGCAAGATTGGAGACCCAAAGAAGTTAAAGAACTAGTCTGGAGTCAGACTCTCAGTGGTGACTGCCCCAGGTAGAGTTACACGTGATCCGTGCCTGCCCTCTGCAAGCTTCGTGGCACAGGGGTGCCCCCCCTCCAGACTGCAGTCAGCCTTGGCGTCGCCCTCTCTTAGTCCTTACATCTGTTTTCCACTGGTAGTTCCCCATGGTGTGCGGTGTGTGTTGTGCAGAGCCCATCTTGTTCTGGTTCTCTCTCTTCTTTCTTGTGTATAGAGTAGACACACGAGACAGAGGAGCAGCAGGTGTAGGGGCCTCAGCTTGGTGCAGTGAAAACGCTGTAAGCAGTGAGGTTCCCCCCACGGGATGTTGTAGAGTGCATTTCCACAGGGTTGGGGCCGGACCCCACGGCCCCTTTCTCGTCAGGTATTACAGTCCTTGAATAGCCTGGTGCATTGCTGCTCCTGCTTCAGGATTTGTTTTTACTTTTAAGTCTGAACACAAACAGTGCTAAGCTCTTGGACATTAAAAGTGTCAACACGTCTTTATCCTTCAAAATTCAGCCTCCTTTGAAAAATATACTTCTCATTCCTCGGGATGAGTAAAACTTCTGTCCACATGCATGGAAAGGATGCTCTTGAGGGTGTAGGCCCTGGGTCCCGCCTCAGCGGTGTTTGTGTCTCAGTGCTCTGGCATGCTCGCAGGGTGGCGTTTACTCTCTTAGACCTCGATTCCCTCACCTGGGGCAGCAAGGGCGATCAGAGTGTCCCGTCTGAGCAGCTGGCAAGGTTCTCTGGCGCTGGTCTGGCACGTCCTGAGTGCTTGGTAGATGTCCATTACTTGAGGGATATTCAGGGACGTGGATGGTTGTTACTGTAAAACTTAACCTCATCTTTACATTTTTCTCAGAGGAAACACAAGAATAGAAGAGGCTTGTGAAATGTATACCAGAGCTGCGAACATGTTCAAGATGGCCAAGAACTGGAGTGGTATGTACGAAGGTGTTGTTTGTTTGCTTTCCAGGCAAATAACTTTAAAATCACTTTGAAGAAGGACATGACTGTCCACCTTCCCCTTAGAAAAACTGCTGGCTGTGTGGGTGGGGTGGGGGAGGGGGGCTGTTGATCCAAGGGAGCAAAGCTTGAAATACTGATTGAAGTTTAGGCATAAAGGCGTGTCTGCTTTAATGTCTGCAAATACTTACTACAGTGGGCATGTGGTAATTAAAAAGACTTACTATTATTTGGAGTTACGAAGGGTAACCTTTGCTGTTTACTCATGTGCTTAAATAAATTTAGTACAAGGAGTAAAAGTTGAAGTAAAAGTTACTGAAAAAAATGTTAGATAAATAGGAATGCCTGCTTTTCTTTGCCTAAACCTTGGTGGAGACTTTCTAACCGTACCTTATCCTGATAACTGATTGTGGTCCCCTGAGAAATGAGGCAGTGGGGGTGTTACTTCTAAACCCTGACAGACTCTTCATTTTCTAACATAATACTTTTATGCAGGGAAGGTACACAAAATGAAATCAGAATTGTTTTCATTATTGTGAGAGAGGGTGGCTCTTTTCCAACACTGATTCAAGAAGCAGATTCATCCTCTACCCCTGGAATAAAGAGGTTACATGAAGGGGTTTTTCTGTAGTGAAGGTGGACATGGCTTTTGACCAGGCAGGATGTGGGTTTCTGGCCCTTTGAACCTGCAGTTGACCTGAGGTGGGGGCCTTTCCCTCCCAAAGTGCGTTTGTTTCCCCCGGGGCTCTCCCAGCTTGATGGAGATGTCTGTGCCACGCCGAGTCATGTGAACGTAAGGTGTACGATCTGTCCACTTGTTTCCAAGTCAGTTCCATGAAGTAGATGCTGTTGTGCAAATGGCCCTGAAAGGTCCTTTCTGGCTGTAAAATTCTTTTTAAAACATTTAGATAAGAAAGGTATGTTCTGTTTCCAAAGTGCCTTTGCCCCTGAATTATAATGTATTTTAAAAGAGAGGAGAAAAGAAGATCAGCGTTCACCTCTTTTTTTGGTTCAGGTCCTGTCAGCGTTGTTGTTCAGTTGCTCAGTCGTGTCTTACCTCCTTGTGACCCCACGGACTGCAGCACACCAGACTTCCCTGTCCTTCACCATCTCCTGGAGCCTGCTCAAACTTGTGTCCATTGAATCAGTGATGCCATCCAGCCATCTCATCTTCTGTTGTCTCATTCTCCTCCTGTCCTCAATCTTTCCCAGTATCAGGGTCTTTTCTAATGAGTCAGCTCTTCGCTTCAGGTGGCTAAAGTATTGAAGCTTCAGGTTCATCATCAGTCTTTCCAGTGAATATTCAGGTTTGATTTCCTTTAGGATGGACTAATTGGATCTCTTTGCTATCCAAGGGACTCTCAAGAATCTTCTCCAACACCACAGTTCAAAAGCATCAGTTCTTCAGGGCTCAGCCTTCTTTATGGTCCAACTTTCACATCCATACATGACTGTTGGAAAAACCAGGTTCAGATCCTGTAATAAGTAAAAAGTGATCTTATCTAAAAAGACCTTTTCCTTCCTTTATCTTGGGACCAGATGGTCTAACCTTTGAAAATTCCTTTCAGAGGAGCGTTACTGTTTATGTAACTGAAGGGGATATATGTGTATCCTCACCCTCACCCTTGTGATCTCTTGCCTAGGCTGATATCGCCCTGCCTCTTGACTTTACCTGTTTGTTTTAATGAAGAAATCAACGTAGCCCTGTTAAATCTCTAGTCAGGTCATGTTATATCAGAGCAGAGCTCTGATCCTTCAAGGTGGCCTTCAGAGTCTAACTGGTCTCCCATCCTCTCCTCACTCTGGACGCTTCTCCTGTCTGCCCACTCCTTCCCCAGCTCCCTCCTCTGACTCTGCCTGTGCTGTGCCCTCCCTCTGATACTGTCTTCCCCGCATAGGATGTGGCTGTTCCCTGTTTTCCTCCAGGCCCATCTACAAATGTCATCATCTTCTTAGTGAGGTCTCTCCTGGCCATCCCTGGCAGTCCACTCTTCTGGGAAGCCCCTTCTCCTCTTCCCCAATGCCCTGACCACCATCTAGCAAAAATAAGTGAAGTCCATTTGTTTGTTTGTATTGTCTCTGCTTTTATGATGTGCTGTCCCTCCCCGGAACATAAACCTTGGAAGGCCAGCGTGTTTCTATGCGTTCTCTCTGCCCTGCCTGCAGGGCCTGGACCCATGTGAGCAGCACAGTGGAAGGTGCTTAGTGTATTTTATGGAGTACTAGGTTCCTTGCATTTGGGACTAACAGATACCACTGTTTATAAAATAAACAAGGACCTACCATATATTACAAGGAACTATACTAGATATTTTGTAATAGCCTATAAAGGAAAAGAGTCTGAAAATGAATACACACACACACGCACACATACATATAACTGAAACAGTTTGCTGTACATCTGAAACTAACACAGCATTGTGAATCTACTATACCTCAATTTTAAAAGTGGTTAAAAAGGAAATAATAAACTGAAAGAAAATTAGGTTCTTTGAAATTGTTTCCATGTTGCTGTGGTGGTGATCATGATACCACTGCATCTCATCTCTTTATAGTTTTAAAAGTTATTTTATGAGGATAAAAGAATTCATTTGATTTGTCTGCTACTCTGCTTTTGAGAGATCATCCCAGCAGGAATTAGATGTTTACAGTTGAGGAAACCGAGTCTGAGAAGATGTGTAACTTTATTTTGATAATATACTCTTTTAAAGATACTTCCACATTGGTAGAGACGGAAGTTAGTGGTGTTTGGAGTGAGTGCTCAGATTGAAAAGGTGAGCTAGCAGCTTGTTTTGGAATGTGGGAGCATGAAATTGTCAAATCAGCACTTTCAATACTGTCCAGGGAAGTGGAGCCAGCCTGGGAGAGCCTGGGTGCTGTGCTGTTACCCCAGCCAGGAAGGGCTGGAACACCATTGGTTCTGGGATGGCCAGCATAGATAAACTGTCAAAAAATGAAATTACTGGTGGGAGGAGGAGGATTAAGTTATAAAGAAATGATGACATTTCAACCTGGCAAAGCACAGGTGCTCTGAGGGCAGATATACATGTGGTTATGAAAATGGCCAGCACGTGAATGTGTTTCTGGAGCCACGCTGTCCTGAGCACTTTGCCTAGAAGGTCCGAGTGATGCTACATACTTCTGAGACCCAACTCATCAGAGCTGCTTTTGGGCTGTCGCATTCCGGAACTGTGGTGGAAAGTTTCCAGCTGCCCAGAGGCCCTGGGTGCCTGCCCACCACTTGGCAGAAGCTTGGACCCTCTTCTGGGCCGCCAGGTTCATGATCCACAAAGGTATGGGTCAAGCCTGGTGGGCAGGTTTCTCCGGTCCCACCTCCAGTCTTGGGCCAGCATTGGCTCAGACTGGCAGGGCCCAGGCCACACTGGTGGGTCCATATCTTCAGAAGTGCCAGGGCGTTCTCTCGTCCTGTGCAGAGCAAGACTTGAAGCTGGGTGGTCTGATTTGGGGGCTTGTGCTGCCTCTTCTTGTGTCGCCATTTCTCTTGCTTTGCCGGCCAAGTCCGTGGAAATGGACCCTCCCAGCCTCATGCCTTCTCGGAGACGCCCCATCAGTGTGGGGCCTGCACTGGGGACGGAGCTGAACACTGAATGCACAGTCAGTGTGGAAGGAGGCCTGAGGCTAAGAGCGGCCCTTGTTGCTGGCCCATTGGGTCCCGGGCGTCTTTGTGGCCACCAGAGGTGACTGGGTCACATGCACATGTGCCGCCATCAGGATGGGGCCTTCCGCAGGCGTGGGCTGGAGCGGGGCTGCCCTGGGGGTGGCTGCCCCTGTGTTGACTCACCCACATGTCGTCTTCAGCTGCAGGAAATGCATTCTGTCAGGCCGCCAAGCTCCACATGCAGCTGCAGAGCAAACACGACTCAGCCACCAGCTTTGTGGATGCCGGGAACGCCTACAAGAAGGCAGACCCCCAAGGTGAGCCTCGCACCCCCCAGACCTCCCGCGAGTTCTACTGCTGGAGGGAGACACACTCCCAGACGGTGTGGATTTGGAGATTTTTAACTCTGATCATCTGAAGTTTCTGTGGAGAAAATCTGTTAAATTTATCCTGTTGTCAATACCATCTTCTTAAACACCATCTATGCTGCATTGTGGACAGTTTTCTTGAAATTAGCTTTAGCTGTATCTAAGTCTTCTAATGTTAATGTCATGAATGTGTACCTCGCTCACTAAGGGAAACAGAGGTTCGTTCCCTTACTTCTGAATAGTTTATGTGGAGATGCACTGAACAGGAGGTCGTAAAATCCAGTAATTACAAACAGTTTATACACACAGCATTCATCTGACTTTTTTAGTATACATGCTGCCAAAGCGAGTACTATCTGACTATTTTAAAAAAGCATTTTTCCAAGTATTGGTTTTGAGGAAAGAATGATCTTGGGTATTTGAAGTGGTGAAGTTTTTCAGATGTCCTTTGTTTTTGAGTTGGAGAAGTGTACATTCTGCAGTTGAAGGCCTGCCCTCGCTCCACACGTGCCCTATGGTTGTGGGATTGCCCTCCTTTTTCAGCAGCCCATTTTAACACAGAAATCCCAAGTTTCCTGACAGTCTCACACTGAAATAAGGGCTGTGGTATAAGAATTAGCCGTAGCTTATTTCCAAAGGGAAAAACTGGGCACAGCCCAAGTGCACAGTAGAGTTACTGAACGTCAGCGTTTAGTGCCACACCCATGTGGTGCAGGCACCGAAGCCCTGACGTCTAGGAGGCCCTGTGACTGGGACATGTTTGCACGGCAACTGAAGGACCACAGGAAGCCGAAACTCAGGTTCACAAAAAGCGTGTGCTCATGGAAATGCGTCGAGAAAATGGAGGAGAAGGGCAGCAAATTCCCAGCAGGGGTATTGAGTGGGATTTTGTGGGTAGCTCTTCAATTTTCCTGTATTTTTGAAGGCACAACTATCCATATTTCTTAGGCAGGTTGGGGGAAATCGCTTTCATTGTCACTAATTTACTTACTTTCCTGATTCTTCCGTTGGGTCTTTTTGCTTTGCTGCCTCTCCAGAGCAGAAGTGGTGCCCTGGGTGCTGCCAGCTGTGTGCCCGCATTGTCAACGCCTCTGCTCTGTGAGGTGGGCACTTGTTGGCCCTGTGTGCCCGAGCTGTGAACGCCTCTGCTCTGTGAGGTGGGCACTTGTTGGCCCTGTGTGCCCGAGCTGTGAACGCCTCTGCTCTGTGAGGGGGGCACTCATGGCCCTGCGTGCCCGCGCTGTACATGCCTCTGCTCTGTGAGGCTCGCTGGTCTGGGAAATCAATGTTATTCATGAGCTCTCTCATTTATTAGACTTTTTCTTCCTGTTGATATTTGTTAGTACACCGAAAGTTAGCTTCTTCTAACGCTGTACAAAAAGTAATTGTCTTCCAAATCACTGCGTACATGTGATACCAGTAAGGAAGGAGCTGCCCTCAGGTTTTAGTGGATAGGTGGATGGGTGTTGATGCTGGCTCCAGCTCCATTGTTCTGTCTTCGTGATGCAGGCTCCCCCATGAGGTCCTCAGGGTCAGGGTAGGTGTCATTGAGCCAGCCTCCCCTCTCCACCCTGCCCTCCTCTCTGATGCTGCAGCCGCTGTGTACTAGCTTGTGGAGGGGCCAGGCATATGCAGATGCGTGTTTGCTTCTTATCAACCACCCTGCCTCCCCTTTGCCCCAGTGGAGCCCCATTAGTGGTCTAGAAGCCCCCAGGAAGACAGGCTTAGCAAACCCTCTGACTGAACGGATTTTTCATTGTTTCTCTTGAATGCCTTCGCTTCAGAGGCTATCAACTGCTTAAATGCAGCCATCGACATTTACACAGACATGGTAAGACCTGCCTTGCTTGAGCGGCCGTGGGGTGGAGCCTTGAGACGGCTCACGGTTAACTGGGATGTGACCACTGTGTTTCCTCCCCAGGGAAGGTTCACGATTGCGGCCAAGCACCACATCACTATCGCAGAGATCTACGAGACAGAGCTGGTGGACATTGAGAAGGTGCGCAGATGGGGGAAGCTGGTGGGCGGGGACCCCAGGCGCCCCTGTGGTGGGGACGCAAGGGCAGAGGGAAGCACGCGCAGGTGGGGTCCCCTGGAGACCTCGGGTGGTGGCGGGAGGGAAACCCCTTGCCAGGGCCCCAGGCTGCCTTTGCTCAGATTTGGGACAGTGTTTACGTAAGACCGAGCACCGTGGGCAGCAGGCACGCGTCAGGGAGGAATGTCTGGTTCTGTTGGTGGTGGACGCTGAGCTCAGAGGTCCCTTCATCCCATGCCTGCTTCCTCCCCGGACTGCTGTCACTCTCGCTTCCTGTTTCATCTCTCCCTTGGCCTCTGGAGCATGGTCCTGCCTGCTGCTCACACCCCTGCCGTGGCTGCTTGCTCCTCTTCCCTGGGGGCTGGGCTCTCATCCCCTCCCTGCCCTCGCTCCCGTGATCCTCGCTGCTCACATAGCTTCACAGCATGAAGTGCTGTGTCTGGCAGCAGCTCGTCCGCGTCAGCAGTGAATCAGGCGGTTTCTCCACTAACAGCCACGGGGCCCGCCTCCTCACCCAACACCTCCCCCCGCCGTGCTCCCCTGTTCCTCGTGTGGTAGCCACCCTGACCTCTCCGGAGCCTCTCGCGTGTCAGGCGTGTGCTGCCTCAGGGCCTGTGACTGCTGTTCACTCTGCTCTGAGCTCTTCCCCCACACGTCAGTTCTCCTGCAGAGCTTTGCCCATTTGATACTGTGATGGAAACTGTCCCAGCCACTTCATGAAGACTGGGACCTCCGCCTTCTCCAGGACACACCCATAGCCCCCACCTCAGAGCCTCCTTACAGGCGCTTTGACGGCCCGCTCACCACCCCCGTCTCGCTGTCTCCCTCCACTGCAGTGGGTGCCCTACTCCAGCCTGAGCCTGCCTCTGGTATACCAGTGTGTCCGAGACCCTGGCTCTGCTGAGTGAGCCGAGGGTGCCTTCCCCACCAGAGCAGATGGGGTCCCGGGTGGGGCGCCCCTCAGGACTGCCGTGGGACAGGCTGCTTCCCCGTCTGACTTCACGGGGATGCCTCTGGTGGTCACGTGGCTCAGAACTCACTGGTTTATGTCATGGACTGTCTCTGGGCCATTGTCGTACTGTGCCCTACTCTTCTGAGGCTACCCTCAGACCTTGACCACATCAGGGCCATGTGCCCTGTCTCCTGAGGAGGTCTTCTCTGACCCAGAAGCAGGTGGTAAACCCCAGTCTTGAACCTGTCTTTGCGACTCTGAGTCTGCAGAGTCGATGGCAGAGCTGGAGTAGTGGGGCCGGGATGCTTGTCTGGTCAGGGTGTCTGGAGCGAGCTTGGTCTTTACTGTAGCGTCTGAGCTGTCCTGAGAAGGATGAGTGCTGGTGGGCAGAGTGTCCGGCCAGCCAAGGCTGCTGTGTCCTCTCCGGACCTCAGTGTTCAGTTTTCAGTCTGAAGGGCGAGGTCTCGGGCGGCCTCTTCACCACATGCGTTTCTGTAAGATTCAGGGCAGCTAATTTGATCTGTGGTGAATCCCTGTTTTTCTTTTTGTTAAACAATGCTGACAGTTTGTCACGGGAGTTTCTGCAGCCCATCACGTCACCTCTAGTGCTCCTGCTGTTTTGCAGGTTGCTCATGGGCCCTGACAGGGTGGGGGGTGTCAGGGTCAGGGGTGTCAACGGTGTGGGTTGAAGGCACGTGGAGCAGCTTGCCTCCACTTTGGGCTCCTGTATCTAGAAATGTCCTTGCCCTTGGCTTCCTGGAGGGACTCTTCAGATTGGGTCGGTGGCGCACAACATTTGTTTGAAAAATCAGTTACACTAAGGCACCTTGTGTCTGATTCATTCACGAGTGAGTTTCTTTCCTGTTAATGTGGCCACAGTGTGTCCCTGGTTCACTCGGATTTTAGCCGGTGAACAGGGACATGTGAAGTTCTGTAAACTTACATTTCTCCTTTGATTTCAAGTAAAACATTAATATGGTAACAGTCCGTGATGATCAGTGACCCAGAGGAGCCCTGGTTCAGGTCCCTGGAGAACGGGGTTTCTCTTGTCTGTGTTAGCATAGGGTAGGTGTCTATAGGGTAGGGTAGGCTTCTTAGGGTGTAGGTTCTAAAAGAATGATCCATCTGAAGGCTGTTTTACCTACACAGTGGGCTCTAGAGCTTGACTCTCAGCTACTGTGTTGTCTGTAAAGCCCTGGTGGTGACCGCGGTCCTGGAGTCCCATCTCTGTCTTCAGGGCCCAGTGCTCTCCAGCATGCTGTGGCTTATCAGGCTCCCCAGGGAGGAGTATAGTGTTTGCTTTATCCAAATTAGAGTGTAATAATTTTGTCTGGATTCATTGTTACATACGCTGTTGTTCTTGATAGTTGTATTCTACTTTTGATATTTATTATCCCTGAGGGCCTCCCAGGTGTTTCCAGTGGTAAAGAATCCTCCTGCCAATGCAGGAGGCGCAAGAGATGTGGGTTCAGTCCTTGAGTTGGAAAGATCTCCTGGAGAAGGACGTGGCAACCCACTCCAGTGTTCTTGCCTGGGGAATTCCATGGACTGAAGCGCTTGGAGGGCTACAGTCGATGGGGTCGCAGAGTCAGACATGACTGAAGCGACTGAGCACACAGGCACACCCTGCAGAGCAGCAGTCCCACTGCTCCAGGCCAGCCCCGCTCCTCAGATTTTGGGCGGTGAGAGCAGAAAGGTGAGTAGTTTGCTCCCTCCTTGGAAAGAGGGCACACAGCCTGGTTCCCTGCATGGTGACTTGGTCTTGTTTCCCATACTTATCCCATCATTACAATGGGAAGGAGTGCTCATTAGAGGATGCAGACCATTCAGAGATGATGTTTGATTAGTTAGAAATTCATGGAAAACCTGGTGGTATCGTAACCAGGACTGCCGGTGAAGTGCAGCTGCCTTTGTCTGCTCAGCACCTGTTTGCTGAGCACTTGCTGTGACAGGCATCGCACTGGGCCTCCCTACCCTCAGCGCTCGCAGGGTAGTGGGAGAGGAAAGTCCTTGGGAGTGTGTGTGTGTGATGGCTCTGCCCCTGCTCCAAAGGAGTGGATTCCAGGTGTTTCTTTCAGGTATATGTTCTATGGCTGTTTTTAAATGTGCTATTTCATAAAGAACTTTTAATATTGATACTTCCTGTCATTATTCTTCATCTTAGCACAGTAGCCCATTATATTTAATCACTTAAATTGTTCCCAGTTTTTCTCCTATTATCAGTTATACTCAGAAAACTTGTATGGGAGCATGTTAGTGAGGGAGGGCTGCATGGCTGACCCATAGACCCCAAATATCGTGACTCCACACAGAAGTGTGTGCTTCACAAATGGGCCCCGGTGCCCTGCAGTCCAGTCGAGGCTGATGTGGTTCCAGAGGTGGCTCTGCTCCCTGGTCGTTCTGCCACCACCTGTGGGAGAGGGCCCAAGGCTCTGCAGTCAGCTCTTGGGGGGGTTCCCAGTGACCCCAGCTGGAGGGCTCTTCTGATGGGGTTCCCCTGCATCCCCACGTCCCCCTCTCAGATCGCAGGCACTCAGCTGCTGGCCTGAGTCCACATCAGGCCTCGCCTCCTCTCCACTCCTTGGGTGAATCTGGATGTTTAAGGCAGGAGTGTGCTCATCAATTGCCTATTTACGTCCACAAACTAAGGACGGTCCTTACATTTTGTGATCACTGGTGGGAAGAACATTGCATGACACATAAAGTGTGTGGGGTTGAAATCCCACCATCCACAGTCAGGTCTCCAGGCACAGCCCTGCCTCTTCACGCCTGTGTCCTTGGTGGCAGCCTCTGTGCTGCTGTGGGAGAGCCCCGGGGGCAACGGATGGAATGGCTCCTGAAGCCGTTGTGTGCGTCATGAGGCCTGCTGCAGACGCGCTTGGCCCACCCCTGCTGAAAACGCCATTTGGCTTCTCTTGCCAGTTGGGGTATAGAAGACATTGGCCTTTTCAATCTTATGAGGTTCTGTCCTTGTATAATTGCCTACAAACTAGCTGATCTTTCCAGAGTTCTCTCTTATGAAACCTTGCTGAAAACCAGGCACTGTTGCCTGTCTCTTCCCTTAGAGTTCCTGCTCCAGCAGCATGGGTTCTGCTTTCTGAGTCGTTGGGTGCTTTATTTCACTGTGTCTTATGCCGCAGCATGACCAGGGCTTCTAGCTCTCCAGACTGCAGCCTGTTTCCTTTCCACCTGACAGTTCACAGCATCCCCATCTAGATGGAAGGCAACACCCTGATTCTACAGGATCCCTAGGTCTCGTAGGAATGTCTGTGCTGCTGCAGCAAGCCATAGAGCTGAGTGGAATAGCTCAGCTCTGTCACCACTTAGGGTTTGGCAGTGGTGGGGACACCACTTGGGAACCAGGCTGACAGAGGGCTGCCACCTTCTTCAGTTTATGGCTTCCAGCATCACTAGACGTGGTCGCTGCCTTCAGCTCATAGGAAGGGGACAGGCCTGGAGAAGGATGCAGAGTCAGCTGTATGGACCACGTCTGGAGGTGGGCCACAGCGTGTCTGCTGACATCCCCTTGGAGAGGATGGGTCACGTGGCTGCCCCTGACTGCCACAGACCTGGGAAATGGGGTGGTGGGCATTTGTCTGGGTCGGGGGTCAGGAAGAAGAGAGTCTGGTGGACAGCAAGCTACCTGCCACCAGTTTTCTGGAAGCACATGCTTTCTTGTGTTCCCAAAATAAAGCAAGCCGGGTTTTGAAAGTTGTACTGCTGAAAAGGGTTTCTTTATAGGAAAAATACTTGTGCAAATGTAAATGCAACTCTTCAAACAAGTAGTTTGCATAAAACGTGTGTGTTTTCAGGCTATCGCCCATTACGAACAATCAGCCGATTATTACAAGGGGGAGGAATCCAACAGGCAAGTATTGTTTTTTTTTTACAATTTTGTGATATGTGATGAAAAGTTCTGATAGTTTTGTGTGAGGAAAGGTTCTGACATTGGTGTGTGATGAAAGGTTCTGATAGATTTGTGTCATGTGATGAAAGGTTCTGACAGATTGATGTCGTGTGATGAAAGGTTCTGATAGATTTGTTGTGTCGTGTGGTGAAAGGTTCTGACAGTTTTGTGTCATGTGATGAAAGGTTCTGACAGTTTTGTGTCATGTGATGAAAAGTTGTGACAGTTTGGTATCGTGTGATGAAAGGTTCTGACAGTTTTGTGACATGATGAAAGGTTTTAACAATTTTGTACATGTGATGAAAGGTTCTAACAGTTTTGTGATGCAATGAAAGATTCTGATAGATTTGTGTCGTGTGATGAAAGGTTCTGATAGATTTGTGACGTTTGATGAAAGGTTCTGACAGTTGTGTGACATGTGATGAGAGGGTCTGACAGTTTTGTGATGTGTGATGAAAGGCAAACCTCCGCTTTTCCTCTGGGAGTCTCTTGCACTGGACCTAGTGAAGGTGTGCCGAGGTGCCTTGTCATTTTTCTTTGCGACTGTCACCCTGCCCTGGTTCTTGGTTTCAGCTCGGCTAACAAGTGTTTGCTGAAAGTGGCCGCGTACGCCGCCCAGCTGGAGCAGTACCAGAAGGCCATCGAGATCTTCGAGCAGGTGAGGCTGCTGTCTGCGCAGCTTCGAGCAGAAGGCCTGTTGGAGTTCGTGTGCTAGTATTTTGTTCAGGATTTTGCATCATGTATTCATACGGGCTGTTGATCTTTAATTTTCTCTTGTGACGTCTTTCACTTCGGTAGCAAGGTAAAACTGGCCTCAGAATGAGTTAGAAAGAGTTCGTTCCTCTTCTGTTTTTTGGAAGAGTTTGTAGAGAATTGATGTTAATTCTTTAGATATTTGGTAGAATTCAGTGGTTTTCTGTACTGTTTTTCTATTTTCATCGATCCTTCTGTTATTCTGATCTCTATCCTCTACTTTCTTTGGATTTATTTTGCTCTTCTTTTTTAGGGCGTTGATGGTGGAAGCTTAATTTACTGATTTTCCTCTTTGTTATATGGGCATTTTTAGTGCTATCAGTTTCCCTCTAAGTGCTGCTTTGACTGTCTGTCACGATTCTATTACATTGTTTTATCTTTATTTTTATAATAGCAATAAATAATTTACTGATTTCCCTGGGTTTTTTTAATAAGTGTTTTGTTTGGTTTCCAGGTGTTTGGAGATGTCCCTGTTATCTTTGTTTTTGGTTTCTAGTTTGATCCTGTTGTGGCTGGAAAGCGCAGTCTGTGTGATTTCAGTCCTTATAAGTTTATATTCTGTGGTGCTGCTGTTACTGGGTGACATGTTCTACAAATGTTGATAAGCTGCTCGTGGTTGATAGTGTTGGGTTCTTCCGTATACTTGCCGGTTTTCTGTTTCTGTTGTTGAGAATGGAGTGTTGCAGTCTCTATCATTGTGGATTTGTCTCGCTTGCATTTCTATCAGTTTTTGCTTCATGTTATTTTGCAGCTCTGTTTGCTGCATACTTATTTAGGGTTGCTGTGTCTTGCTGCATTGGCCCTTTTATCATATAATGCCCCCTTCTGTCTCTGGCAATTCTCTTTGCTCTGAAGTCTTTATCTGCTACTAAATATAGCCTCTCCTGCTTTCTTTTGATTAATGTGTATATGACATATCTTTATGCATTCTTTTTCTTTCATCCTGCCTATGTTGTTACAGTTGAAGTGAGTTTGTTGTAGACAGCATAGAGTTAGGTCTTGTTTTTAAATCTACTCTGCCACTTTCTTTTAATTGGTGTATTTGGCCCATCCACATTTAATGTAATTATTGACATATTAGAACTGAAGTCTGCCATTTTATTTTTTTGTTTTCTGTTTATCCTGTTTTTTGTTTTTCTGTTTCTTTTTTCCTGCCTTCTAAGGGGTTGCTTGATTACCTATAGTATTTTTTAGTATCTCTCTCTAAATTGCCTTTGTAGTGTTTGCTCTAGGTGTTGTATTTACATAATGTATCACAGGGTAATGATGTAATTTTTTTCAGTTCCAATGAAATATAGAAACCTGACCTTACTTTCTGTTCTTTTATCCTCCCCCTTTCAATATATAATTGTCTTTAGTATTTTCTCCATACACTTTTAGAAACACACCAGTCACCATTACAATTTTTACTTCAATCACCCAGTTTAATTTACAAAACTGAAGAGGAGAAGAAAGGCCCGTTGTGTTGCTTACTGTGTTCTTTCCCAATGTTTCAGGATCTCTTCCTGTATTTTGTTCTACTTAGACAGCAATGTTTGCCATTCTTTTAGGGTATGTCTGCTGGTGACACATTCTCCTGGTGTCTCTTCACCTGTGAATGTTTTGATTTCCCCTTCATTCCTGAAGCTGGGTATACAGTTTTCCCTGGGTATACAATTCTGGGTTGACAGCTCTTTTTCAGCACTTGAGAAATGTGCCCTTATGACTGGCTTAGTTTCTGATGAGAGGTTTACTGTCATTCAGGCTGTTTTCCCTGTAGGTGTGGTGGTGTTTCTCTCTGTCTCTTTCAAAATGTTTTCCTTTGTCTTCAATTTTCAGAAGTTTTTATGGCTTAGCAATGGTGTTTTTGCTTTGATGCTGTTTGGAGTCACTAAACTTCTGGAATCTGTGGTTTATGTTTCTTGCTAAATTTAGGGAATTTTCAGCTACTATATTTTCAAGTGATTTTTAGCAACTCCTTTCTCTCCCCTTCTGGGACTCAGACGGCCCAGATGTCAGGCCTTATTTTATCATCACATACATCCCAATGCTCTGTTCCTCTTTTCTCAGTCTCTCTTCTCTCTGCTGTTCAGACCGAGTAATTTTGAATGTCTACCATCAGTTCCCTGAGTCCTCCGTCTCTTCCATGGGTTCTGCTGTTGAACCCATCCATTTTTTATGTCAGGTATTATGTATTTCAGTTCTGAAGTTTCTGTTCATTTCTTCTTTGTATCTTCTAGGGGTTTTTGCCGAGAATTTTTTTATCTTACTTCACTGATGCTTGGGTTTTCCCTCTGGCCTCAAGCACTTTTGTAATTTCCGGTGGAAACATTTTAGGAGGATTCCTTTAACATCTGTTAGATAATTCTAACATCTCTTCCGTGTGAGAACTGTTGTTTATTAGTTACCGGTTTTTTTCATTCAATCTGAGTTATTCCCTTTTCTTGGTATTGCAAGTGAGTTTTCCTTGAAAACTGGGTATTTTCACATTGTGTTATAGGACAGGGTCTTGTTTAAACTTCCTCTCTCAGCTGGTCTTCTTTGACACTGAAGGGGTATGACCTGTTCCTGCCAGGTATAGATATAGGACCAGGCTCCCCACCCAGCCTCCTGGTTCCTAACAGGTGATGGTAAAGCCAGGTACGCTGGGAGGCGAGGACGCCTCATTCCCTCTAGGAGGCATGGTACAAGCCCCACATGGGCCCCAGGGCCTCTGTGGTGGGGGCACAGACTGGCTCCTAGCTGGTTCCCTTGGCAGGAGGGTTGAGCTCTCCGCCCAGTCCCAGGAGGACAGGCCATCCCATCTCTCTCTGGCTTTTATTGCTGTGGGTGGGGTGGATCAGAGCAGGTGTCGTCTGAACCTTCCCTGTCTTGTACACTGCTCCTCTCCTGGTCCTCTGGCTGGAGAAAGCAGGCTTCCATCTATTTCCTCACTCTTTTATTTTTTCTTTGCCACACCCACTGGCATTTATGGGTTGTTGGCTTTCTCTGTTCCAAGTCAGGGATTTATGCAAGAAAAAGCAGGCAACTCCCAGCCATTTGCCCTGTGCCCCATGCTGATCTGCTCTTTGCTCTACCTTTTAGTGTCCTGACATTAGTTTTCTATAAAAGGATCAAGGCTTTTAGTTGTTCTTAGCGGGAGGGACAGAAGACAGCATGTCTGTTCCATCCTCCTGGACATGGAATTCTGAGTTGCTTTGAACAGGTTCAGCACTTTATGTTTCACATACTGTTTCCTGTCGAGTAACAGTTCTGGTACATGACTTTGGGTTAAAAGAATGGATTTCTTAGCTTCTCTAACATAAGATACAGAGAGAGCACTTGTTAAAGAGCTGGTGAGGGTCAGCATGCTCTTTGTAGGAAAGCCAACCTTTTCACTCTGATCCCACTTTCTTGCCTAGATTGGGGCCAACACCATGGATAACCCTCTGTTGAAGTACAGTGCAAAGGATTACTTCTTTAAAGCCGCCCTCTGCCACTTCATAGTGGATGAGCTGAACGCCAAGGTGAGGCACCCTGAGGCACAGCTTTTGATGTGCTTCATTCACCCCGAACGCGGGTGCTCAGCCCTTATCTGGAGCAAAACTGCGGTGCATCCATGAAAAACAAGACAAGGATGAGTCCCTGACCCCATCTTGGCTGTCCTGCAGCTGCTGGAATCCCAGCTGTCAAGGCTCTTAAGTTAAAGCAACCCAGGGGCCACACCTCATTCAGGAGTTTGGTTTAAAGAAATCGGGACTGAGGGGAGACAGGAAAAGTAGAATCACATCTTTTTTAAACTCAGAAGGGGAGTTGGAGTGAGGATTGGGAGAAGTGAAAAGCAGAGTGGAGTCTGGAGGCAGGCGGGGACAGGGTTGGCATCCGGGCCTTGCTGTCCAGGTGCGGCGTCCATCCAGAGCACGAGATTAGACGCCTGCCCCGGCAGGTGTGGCGATGACGTCTGTCTCATGTGGCCTTCTCCACAGCAGCCTCTTTCAGGAAAACTGGTTTAGAAGTTTACTCTTAACTGAAATTGAAATTCAAAATAAGTAGATTTGGTCAGTACACGTTGCTTTTGATGTTGAGTGTAACAATTAAACAGGATGTAAATAAATTATGTTGATGTTAATAGAACATCAAAGCTTCATTTTCTGGCTCAGTGATTCAGATGTTAACAAGTGGTTTTCTTCTCCAGCTTGCTCTTGAGAAATATGAGGAAATGTTTCCAGCATTCACTGACTCTAGAGAATGCAAATTACTGAAAGTGAGTAAGTGGGATTGGAATCCAGCAACGTTTTAACCCTGTGAAGCCGTGAGTCCTGCTCTCGCACGCTAGGCCTCAGATGCCATTAGGGTTAGGTGTGCACCATGCTCTGAATTGGGTGGATCAGAAATGTTAGCACAAGGCTGGATCTCTGACCTGGGTGCCTCTTGTATTTGAAAACTTCACCATTTTTGTAAGTCATTTGGCAACATCAGTTAGTGTAGTAAGAAGGCTGTTTCACTGTTTAAAGTATTCACTCATAGATGGAACTTCTTAGCCAACCAAGATAATTTTTCTGTATTTATGTTCCCAGAAACTTCTAGAAGCTCATGAAGAACAGAACAGTGAAGCTTACACAGAAGCAGTAAGTTCCCCTTTGGGATTTAGTGCGTTCTCTGAAAGATTACATTATAGATACAACTTCTCTTTTTCATCATGTAAATGCTAAACATCTATTTGGACATTATTGTGCTATACCTGTGTTGTTTTCCAAAAGAAATGTTTTTAGATTCCACCAGCCTTCAAAATTAAGACAGTCTATGAGCTCAGCTGACTTTAGCTGCAAGGCAAATATATATCACATACAGTTACAAATGTATTTGGATATTTTCTATGGAAAATAATCTGATCCATAAATAAATGAGAAGTACTATCAGTTAAATCAGTTAAATTTAAAACATAAAAAGAAAGCAGTGAGAGTTTGTTATATTCTTGGCATAAAATGGGAAAAAATTTTTACATTCACCAATTTCCTGTTTTCCCATCTTTTTCCATCTTATGTTTAGAATCAAAGTGAATTTCTTAGTGCCCTTAAGTAATTCATTCAACCTGGCTTTGAAGCCATGGTGGGAAGCGAGTTTCCCCCTTTAACTTTTGCTACAAAACCGTTTTCACCCTGTGAAAGTCCATTCTTTAATGACTCATGGAAATGAGTTGAAGGAATTTTTCCTTTTGGTCTCTCTCTGCAGCTGTGTTTTGTGTTCATGGGAGACTGGGGCCACATTAATTTTCCTTGTCCCCTTGTCCTTATACAAAGTCTCATGTCCTTTGTCACGTTAAACGTGCTCTTTGTCCAGTTACAAGGGCTGCTGTGGATTTTTGCCATAGCATGTTAGCATAAGGGCAATGTAAAAAGCTCTTAATGAAGGAAGTTGTAAACTAGAATGAATGATTTTACAGAGTTAGTGTGGTGTAATTCTGTGTTTGACTGTGTTTCCATGGACCACTTTCTGCTTCTCTTCCCTTCACCAGGTGAAGGAGTTTGATTCCATCTCCCGCCTGGACCAGTGGCTGACCACCATGCTGCTGCGCATCAAGAAATCCATCCAGGGGGACGGGGAGGGGGACGGAGACCTCAAGTGAGGCGCAGTGTCCCTGCGGCATGCCGCCGAGTCCTCGTTCATTTCGTGTTAGGGCCAGTGATCATTGTGGGATGCCCATTCAACGGCTTCATTTCGTTGCACATGAGCCTGACAATGTGTGTGTGTGTTTAAGCTGCCATGTGTGTCACTGTGCTGTGGGCGGGTGGGCCGCTCCTGTGCATACTGTGAGTGTGTGACGGGCTGTCTCCCGCTTGTCAGAGTCCCCAGAGTTTTCCAAGAACTCCTTCAGGATCTTCCTCCTCGTTATTTCAGTATGTGCAGAGCTCGTGTTTCATTTTCCCACATGTTTTTATGTCCCTTTTCTTGGACTTGCGTACCCAACCCAGTTGTTCTAATAGATGCTTTGCATGTTCTCTGTGAACTTGCACCTTGGTGGATTCTCTAAACGTGTGTGTTTAGTGTAGGATGGTTGTTTGGAATGCATTTATGGCTTTCCTCATTAGAATTATTTATCCTTTTTGTTATCTCGTGATTCTTTTGACAGCGCCAGTGACCCATTTCCCTGCTCTTGTGTATTGTTCTGTAGCTGACGTGCATGTGAGAATTCAGGTCAGCCAGGCCTGCTGGCTGCTTGCGGTGGGGGTGAGGGAGCTTCCTGACAATGGCCCGCTGACGTGTGTGGCCGCGTGGAGGTGAACTTGAGCTCACAAGTGCACCGTGCGTGAGATCTTGGAGAGACAGGCGTCTTCCTTTCCTGGAGGGAGTATCTACTTCTAGTTGGGACAGGACCCTTGCTTCACCTTCACAGAAGGGTGTTTGAACTGGCATATCCCTTTCCTTTCATGTTCACACACTTACCCACGTTGAGAGGGCACCCTGTGTGCCCCCTCGTGTACATCCTCACCAGAGCCGGGAGGTTATCTCAGTCGAAGCTTATATGTCATTCATTTTCATTTTTAATTGTCTGTCATTCATTTTATCTGTTAATGGACACGATGGGCTTGGTGGGCTGAGTACAGTACCGTTTACTGCACCGTTGGGAAAGAGCCCCAGTGAGCTTCTCAGGGGACCTGCCCTTAGCCAATGGATTCTTTTATCTGGTGTGTTTGAATTCTATCCTATTGTTTTGATTTATACATGTGCCCTATTGACCTGTGAACTTAATTTCTGCCCTTTATGTTACGTACTAATAACCTTGTGCTTAGATGTGCTCTTGTTTCCTGAATCTCTTCTAAGTGATTTGTTCGATATGCGTTTATTGCTAGGTAATGGCAGCATTGACAGATAAATGGGATTTCCTGTGTCCTGTCAGATGTTACCTGGTATTTGAAAGGTGTTGCATTTTTGGATGGCCAGCAACTGGGATTTGAAGGTGCTGTTGGGCAGAAACAGAGTGAGTCCAGGTTGAGGGCTGAGCTGGGAGGAAGGTTTGGGGATGGGGAACAAGTCCGACTAGGAGGGAGGAGAAAGTGGCAGAAAGGAGGCTAATAAGGATCAGCGGAGGCTTGATCGTGGAGCAGCCCTGTGGGCAGCCGTGAGGATTCAGTGGCTATAGTTGCGGGGTCATCTGTGCGGCTTGGGCTGGTGGAGAGGTGGGGCAGTGGTGGCTCTGTCCCAGCCCATAGGGCAGTTGCAGTGGACCAGGAGACATGGGGTACTCTGACCCTGGCCCCTGGCGTCCAGTGAGGATTCCTTCTTTCCTTCAAAGGTTTGGGATCCTTAAAAGAAAGCTGGCTGTTGGTTATGGTCCATTTTGGAACAGAGCCGCCCACTTGGTACTTCTTCACATCCTATCGGAACCTCTTAAGAAAAAAACTCTTAAGAGAAGTGTGGTTTTGTTGCTCTACCTGATTCAGTGCCCAGCCTGTCAGAAGCACGTGGGTGAGAGGAGCGTGGGTCCTCTGGCTGCAGGGGGACAGTAACCCTTCCTGCCAGCCATGCACTTTGTTGCTGGTCTGGAAAGTCTGCTCCCACTTGTTAAGGAAACTTGTGGTCTGACCATGTAAAGGAAAAACCGAATGGTTTGCTTATTAGCTTTTTATCCTGATCCCCTGACAGACCCCTGTCTGAAGACCTGGGGTTTTGAGAAATACTATTGGCAGCATTTTCAGTCCCTGGGATGGGAAGATCCCCTGGAGAAAGGAACAGCTACCTACTCCAGTATTCTGGCCTGGATAATTCTGTGGACTATATCGTCCATGGGGTTGCAAAGAGTCGGACATGACTGAGCCACTTTGACTTTCGTCACATCAGAGTTGTGTTGAAATGAACACTAGGACCAGTGACTGAGTTAAGATGCTTTTGTTTTTAATATTTCACATGAAAAAATAATTGTAATGGCTAGAACAGACCACTAGAACATGAAAAAGTCCCAGGAACATCTTCAGGCTTCGTCCCTAGAAACGTTCCATCAGAGTGGGTAGCGCTGTGATTTCCAGCATTTATAAATTGTTATTTATGAACAAAATATAATGACTATGTTACAGTCTTTGTATTTTAGCGAGTCATGTTTAGTTCATTGTCAAAAGTGTTAAAATTTCTTATGGGAAAGCTTTGCTTTTTGTGGCAACATTTTTATACCTTGTGTGAACTTTTTTATTGAATGATTTGGAAGCAGTGTCCTTGCACAGTCGTGACCACGTGTGACAGTGCCCCCTGTAACCATAGTGTGTGTGTTTATTGTTTCCTCTGACACCATGCATTTCAGATGCCCGGAGTCAACCCCCATGGCTTCCACGGGGGCCTGGGACTCTCTTCCCCAGGGCTGTCAGGGAGGGTGTATTATGAAAACTCACCCTGGATGATAAATCCACCTTCGCAGAGTCAGTGTATTTTGTGTGAACCTATGCAGTAAATAAAGTCCCAGTTATGAGCAGCGTGGTGCATCTTTCCTGGCTGGTTTGCACAGGTCAGGGCTGGCTTCTCGTCCTGGAAGGTGTCTCTGGGCAGTGGGCACAGCCGTCCAGGCTCTGTAGGCCCCGCATTCCCATCCTTGCTGCTGCCAGGTCAGGGAGCTCACGACAAGGTTCAGAGAGGAGCGGCCCCTTGGTGGCGGACGCCAGTGGTCGGTCTATCTTGGCGGAGCCGCTTTGACTTGGTGCTGTCAGGGCCTTGTTCAGGTCCCTCAAAGATCATTCAGCCCACAATGTATGGTCTAACAGGTGGTCCCATTTAGGAGCTCTGCCCCGTGGTTGATCCTCAAGGTTAGTTTCTCATTCAGATGCCTCTCAGAATCTTTGTGTACTAATAGAAGCCCTCGTGGTGGGTTTTGCCGGCCTCGGGGAGGGTCCCACAGTCCCTTGCTGGTGGAGGGAAGTGGGCAGTTCCCAGGCATCAGCTGGGATGATGTGCTAGCTGGTCCTGTGCCTGTGGACAAATCGCCTTTCACCTTAAGCGACAGGAACACCATCAAGTAAAGGGGACAGGCACTCTTTTGGTCTCCAAAAATGTCCCTGCTGTTGCAAGGCATGCAACATGCAGGTCACACTCAAGATTGGTTAGTTTAGATGACCACCTTTGGCAAAACCACATTTCTGTGAAGGTCATCTTTAAGAAAGCTGGTAAGACCTGGCCAAATTTTTTTTTCAAAGTCTGTACAACAAATTTTGGGTAAAAGCAGAGGCAGGGGAGCTTTGGAGTTTGGGCTGACTTCGTCTTCCACACGAAGGCCAGAAGGTGCAAAACTGGGTAGCATGTCCTGTGGGTCTGGGGCTGACACTGACTTGGCAACACAGCACCCAGATGCGAGAAACGGAGATGTCCCCAAATCCCTGAGATGCACCTTCAGCAGAGTTTAGGGAGCAGCCCTCCCCTCCCCTCTGCTCCCCAGAAGCAAACAGAGAAGTGACCGTAGACAGAGGAGGCCCTGTGGAGCAGACTCACCATGGCCATGACGAGGCCGGGCCTGTGCACTGGGCCAGGCCGGTCACATCTCAGAACACAAGTGCAGCAGACAGAGTTGGCGAGACTCTCCAAGGACCAGAAAATGCAACTACCTGTTTCAATCAGGAATCTGACTTCTACAGAAGGTGAATTCTAACATGGAAATAAACAGCCTCGCAAAACTATTTTTACAAAACAAACATTTATTAACACATAAAACTTTTGTAGAATCTCTAAAGCAAATTCAAGACAAAAATTCCAGTAGGTAACAAAATAATCTATTATTTAAATTCCTTCTCATTAAGATGACTTTATCCCATGAAACAGTTCATCAGTGGGTAGGTTCGTTCTGTTGAGAGTAAAACGTGTGTGAAAATAACTTCTGTAAATACAAGAGGGTGATGCTGTCATAGCAAGAGACAGACATGGGACTCAGTACCCCAGGAGCAGGCATGTGGCCTGTGTCAGCCCCCCAGGCACTGTCAGCATCTCATGGGGAAGAAAGCATCTTGGGTCTTCCTCTGGCATTTTGTGCACTTGTGTCTCCATCTTGGACTTACACATAAAGTACCTTTCTCTTAGAAAATGAGTGTTTTCACAGCAAGTTTAATAAATTAAGATATAAGAAAAAGAGCGACTAGTGACAGAGGAATTCTTTGCTTTTGATCTGGGTCACCTGTGAGTCAAAGCACTGTGCGCACGGTGAACTGCCCTTGCCAATGGGTCAAGAACCAGGCGGGGCGGGATGCAAATGCCACTTGAGCAAGAGTGGCCAGCGTGAGACAGGCACATTTAAGACAAGACTGGCCGTTCCGTGGTCCACTGTTAAGGCTAATCAAAGAGGAAGGAGCATGCCAAGGTGCTTGGTCCCTGCTGCCCAATCTACTTATGCTCCCAGGGGAACGCCTGTGTCAGGCTCCTCACGGGTTAATGGAAAACACTGGGTTTCTGAAAATCACAGAAATAAAGTAAAAAAGGTCTAGCAAAACTACCAATACTCTTGTGTTCTTAGATTTGCCACAACCACTGCATTGCTACTTATGGATAAAATAACTACACTATGTTTCAAGTGTTCTCAGCCCCTGGCTTTTTTCATACCTCTTTGCAAAAACTACTCCACTGTTTTCAGCTAGTCTTTGGTAGGACAGCTTTTACCTAATTGGGTTTTTCGGAAGGAAACCTGATGGCCACAGTCACTTCATGTCATTTTAATGACCAACTTCCTAGTTGCATGTGTGCTACGAGCAGCTACTTAACAAGTATTCAGTTTAGTGCCTACAAGCAGGGGCAGGGGCCAAGTGCTGTCATTCATCTCTTCAGCCCAGAGCATCTCTGATGGGCTTCAGTTTGACAGGAAAGAAACAGCTGAAAATAAATACGTGGTCCCAGTTTTCTTTCACCTTGGTAGAAAAATAGCTTTAAAGTATCAGAAACAAACCTACACAAAGCCTAAGGCAGCGAGCTGGTGGACAGCTCCGGGAGCAGGGTTGGCGCTCTGCTTCGTGACGAAGCTGAGCAGTAAGCGTGGCCTTGCGAGCGTCAGGGTTGCTGGGCATCAGGGCGCTGCCACCAGAGGTCAGTGAGGCGACGCTAACTGCCTTGTTTGCTGATGGAAGTGTGACTGAGGTCATGCGGGTCAGGATTTCTAAGGGAAAGCTTGAGAAATGACTTGATAGCAACATGCAAGTAGCAGTTCAGGAAACTGGAAGCCATCCCTGCCTGCTTCTTTGCCTGCAGTTCTTTTTGGCCCTTGACAAAGCTCACATCCAGCCCTCCCGTGCAAGTGCAGGCTGGAACCCTACAGGCAGGTGACCCCGCTCCAGTCCACGTGGGTCAGAGAGCAGAGCTATGTGGGCCTGGCTCTGTCTGTGGTGTCAGCTCGCTAAGCTCACTGATGGCAGTGGCCAGCAGTGTGTCCTGGGACCCCACGGGACTGTCAGACTTGCAGGCCGGGTCTGCGGGACTGTCCTCATGCATGGCAGGCATGCTGCCCTGGACAGTGGCCAGGTTGTGAAAATGGCCATTTTCTGCAAAAGACAGCAATTTATCGGAGAGTTTGGATGGCGCGTACTCGTCATCAGGCTGCTCAGTCTTGTGGCCGTCGCCGTTCTTGGGAGAGCCGTCCACGATGACCAGGAAGGACTTCCACGGAGTTGTCTTGTCATGGATCTGTGAAGCAAGCGCACAACGGCGGTCACCCACGTTTCCCTGCCCAGGGTCTGCAGACCCCCGGTTCACAGCCATGTGTCATTGGGCCCAACAGCCTTCTCCACCCATCAGACCCGTCTTCACTGTGGTCCTGGTCAGAACGGACTCAGCCGGCAGAGGCCCCCCTCCCGGACAGAGGGCCCCAGGGCAGAAGTTCGGGCACTCTGCCATCCAGGCCGCGCAGCTGGAAGCAGCGCCCCCAGGGCCAGCCTGGCTCACCGAGGTGTGCCGCCGAAGCGTGGACTTGTCGGTGAACGCCCGCCCGCATGCGTTGCACATGAACGGCTTCTCCCCCGTGTGAATCCGGTGGTGGCGCTGGAGAGCGTTGAGCTGTGTGAACTGCTTGCCGCACTGGTCGCAGCAGTAGGGCCGCTCCCCTGAGAGGAAGGGACGGAGGACATGGGGCTGCCTATTGCTCTGTGGCCGCACGGTGGCACGCCCTGCCCCGCCCCCGCCATAGCAGGGCCGCAGGAGCACACGCCCCCCACTGCCACATGGGGCCCCTGGGGCCGTGGCCTCACCCACAGCCGGCGCGATGGCTGCAGGCAGCTCACCTACTTTCTAGTCACACCTGACCATGCACATGTGTGGTGTCCCAAAAGGACATGCACACCGTCACCCCTAATTCTAATCTGAAGGTCTGAAAACGTTCACATGTCCACATCTGTATACACATGTTCAGACCTTTCCAGTTTGTCAGAGAAACTAGAAACTCAGGAAATTTTTAAATGCTATTAAGTCACACAATGTAAAGTTAAATTCCAAATAATTTTTCAATAAAACCTTCAGGATGTTTTCTTGTACACTGACCTCCCATCTCTGGCAATACTCCAGCCATACCTGTGTGGACTTTGATATGCTGGTAAAGTGAATTCCGCTGAGCAAAAGTCCTGAAACAAACTTCACATTTAAAGGGTTTGGACCCAGTATGTATCCTATTGTGATGTTTTAAATACTCCTTGGAAGCAAAACTCTTGCCACACGTTTCACACATGAAAGGCCTCTCACCTACACAGAGAGGGGAGACACGGAGTTAGACGTGACACAGGCGGGAGGACTGGGCCCACCCTCCCAAGTGCCCCAACAGGCTGCGGGTTACCTTCTCTTGTGAAAACTACCTGGAAACATCTACTCATGTTCGGTGCTTGCTACCTGCTCAAAGTTGGTAGAAATGCCCCCTGGAAATCTCCAGAAAGATTCCAGTAGATTAGGATGAAAGAGCACGTCCAGCCAGCTCACATTTTGGAAATTCAGTCATTCCCAAACAAGAACAGCCTGCTGGAAAAGTTGGACTTTTCCACAGGGCTGCGGTGGGTCTCTAGCAGAAGCCCTTCTGGAAGGGAGCGGAGTCTGCCGTGAACACACATGGCTGTCCTGGAGCCGCGCCCGCCCACCTGTGCAGGTGAGGACCAGGAGGGTGTCCACCCTCCATGCTGTTAGGTTTGCCCTGATTTCTCAAATGCCAAAACTGGCTTCAATAAAATCTGAACATATTAGCATGTCCATCAAATGACCGATTCTAACTGAATGCCTCAGTGTGACCTGACCTCCCCTCCCCCACTCTCATCAGACACTACTACTGCTTTTTCAGTCTAGTAGCTCACATCATTAAGGGGCTCACCTATCTCACCATCTGAACTTGAGGCTCACAGGACAGTGCAGAGAAGTAAAGTTTTAAATGCAGGCAGGCAGGAACTGGGCTAGTATGATAAGCACAGTACCGAGCAGCTGGACTCGCCGGGGCTCTGACCCCAGCAGCACTGCGCAGAATCAGAATGGAGAGCTTAAACGTTCTCCCTCGCCTGATGAAATCATACCACAAAACTTCTAAGAACCCCATAGTTCCACTACTTCAACACATCATATAACTCTTTAAGTCTGCAGATTTTCAGTAAAGCTGGGATTCACTGTATGCTTCACTGTGCATTTCTCAAGCTGACAAACAAGCACTGGCATTTTTCATAATATTCAGAGACCTTAGGCTGAAAGGCTAAGGGTGGGACAGGGTGGATTTACCCGATTATTGAACCACTTTCTTGGGGCTGGACAGTCAATTTGTTCCTGATGCTGTATTATTAGAAATAGTAAGAATGGAGATAATAGCATATGGCTTTCCCCACATTCTGAGCAGTTTCCTTCAGAAAGAGTCCTGGAAAGGGAACTTGGGGCTGAAACATCAGGGTACCTCTGGATGCCTAAGACACAGGACCATGACACTAAGACACATGACAAAGGTCATGGCCATGGGCAGACAGTACTGGAGGCACTGGGGCAGTGGGCATATTTTATTAATTTACTTGTGCTCACTTACTAGATGAGAAAGCAAATCTGGGCTTTAACCTGAACCCCAGGCAGACAGCAACATCTAAACTAATAAACTGCAGTTTCCCTTCTACAGCCAGGAAAAACATTCAATCACAACAGCATATTTACCTGTGTGACACCTTTTATGATAAATCAGCATGTGGTTCTGAGTGAATCTTGCACCACATTCATCACAGACAAAAGGTTTTTCCCCCGTGTGAATTCTGAAAGCATAACAGATAGTAATTCAGATTGTGTTCCAAAGCTCACTCGGCATCACCAGCTCCTCCCTCACCTGCAGAAACACTGCTCCACGAGCCCGCATGTGAAGGACTGAAAGGCAGCGAGGCCCAGGACTCTCACCCCCAAGTCAGTCTCTGCCTGAGGCAAGACTGCCAAGTCCCGCCGGACACAGAGCCCCCGAAATACACTGTGTGGTTAGTGCTGCCCCACATGCAGGCAGAGGCCGCACCTCCATAGGTTAAGATGCTCAATAGCACCACATGGTATTTATAAAACTGCCTCATTGAGAACAGTCACCTAGACTGACAAAGAACCATGTGATCAAAACCTTTACTGTCCTTTTTCAGTTCAATATAACAGTCTAGAAAGAACTGTTAACACGTGAAGCTAGCTGGTCCCCGGGGCACACACGTCGGCCCTGCATCTCAGGGCGAGGACGGAGTGACCATCACCACGTTTCCTGAGCCCTTCCTGAGCCGGGCTGGGGCAGGAAAAGGACAATGAACACCCACCTACCACCCCCAGACTGGCCCAGGGTGAGGGCAGATCTCGGGGAGAGTAGAAAACTTCTATGTCTGAATTTCAAGTATTGAGCACCAGAAAGGAATTTAAAAACTGAAAGTCACCTTCTTGTACTCCAGAATCAAAACACAGAATCCCTATCTGTCCTAACCCTGGAGCTTATCAGACTGACAGGTGGCAGGCACTCTCCAAGCCCAGGAAAGTGTCCCTCTACTGAGGTCTCCAGGGGGACCGTGCCACAGGCTGGTCTCAGGCCGGGTCCCAAAGGAATGGGGGCTGGGGTCTCTGGCCTGACTCAGCAGGGGTGGGGGGGTGGGGCTATAAGGGGTGGGGAGGGGCCCCTGAGCCTGAATGGGAGGCTGGGGTCCCCATCAGCCCAGGCCCGACCCAGGGAGCGCCATCCCCACATCTCCCTGGGTCTCCAGGGAGAACCCAGACGAGGGAAGCGGCCCCCGACTTCGAGAAGGAGCAACCAAACAGTGACCCCTCCCGGGAGAGGGGACCACGCCGGCAGCCAACGCCTCCACGCCCACCCGGGGAAGGCGCAGCCCGGGCCTACCTCAGGTGGGTCTTGAGGGCCGAGGGCTGCGAGAAGGTGGCCGGGCACTCGGAGCAGCCGTAGGGCTTGTGGCCGGTGTGCGTGCGCTCGTGCAGCCGCAGCGCCGTCTTGGAGCTCAGGCCCTTGCCGCACTGCTGGCACTGGTGCCGCTCGCCGCCCCCCTCGTGCACCTGCACCACGTGCCGCTTCACGTCCTTCTTCCTCTTGAACTTCTTGCCGCACAGCTCGCACGGGAAGTGGCGCTCGCTGCTGTGTACGTGCCGCTGGTGGCCCTTCAGGTTGCAGCGGTTGGCGAAGGTCTGGCCGCAGGTGTCGCAGCGGTGCACCACCTCGGTGGCCACGCCGTGGTGGAGCCGCACGTGCTTCAGGAAGCTCTTCTCATACAGGAAGGCCTTCTCGCAGCGCGTGCACTGGAAGTTGCTCCTCCGCCGACCCGGGCCCTCCTCCCCCTCCTCCTCCTCCTCGTCCCCCTCCTCCCCTCGCCCCACTTTGGACAGCACAGCCTCCGCCCCTGCCCGGGCGCCACTGTCCTCCTCGTCCTTCGTGACTGCTTCTTTCTCGGTTTCCAGGGCTTCTGGGCAGGGCTCCTGGGGGCCCCCGCAGTCCACCATGTCCTGCTCAGCACTCTTCTGCTGCTCCCGGAGTCGGCGAGTGTACTTCTTTTTAGGGATTTCCACGAACACCTTCCTCCCAGCCAGCCGCCCACTGGCCCTTCTGAGCTTGGGGTAGGGGGGCTTAGCCACCTCTTTCCTCTTGTCTGGCTTCTCCCTGGACTTCCTCGGGGGCAGATCTGGCAACAGGCCATTGCTGATTCTCTCTGCTGGGGGATCCAAAGAACCGGCAACCCCGTTGGCCAGAGGGCCATCAGGGGCCACCCCTGCCCAGGCCTCTGGAGCTAGAGCAGCGGTAACCTGGGAGCCGCTGCTCCCTTCTGCCTCCTGAGACTCTGAGAAATTCTGCAATTCCAAAAGTACCGACTCTAACATCTGCTTCTTCAGCTGAAAACAAGTTTCGGATAAGTCCAAACACTTCAGCTTTTCCGCCATTTCCAGCATCCGCTGTACCCGATCTTCCTCGACCTGTACCTTGGCTGTGTAGACAAACTCAAGAAACGAAGCGAAGTCGGCTACCTGCACTTCATCTAAGTAGACATTAGTCCTGGCACCATCCACAGTCTTCTCGTTAAGGAACACTTCCTTAAAAAACTTGCTGGTGGCTGCCAGTACTGCCTTGTGGGCCATGAATTCCTCCCGGACGCCCTGGTATTCCACGCTGACGGTCACGTCACACAGGTGACCCAGCAGGCGGAGCTGATGCATCTCATGCAGGAGGTTGATTGGGGAGGATTTGGATTCCAGCAGGACCGCACCACTCTCCATGTTGCTTCTTCCCAGAAACACCTTTGAACACAAACCAAGAATTATTCATGCATGAGCACCCTCCAAAGCAGAAGAAATTAGAACTGTGAGGATTACGCATCAGTTCTTTAGAGGATATAAACTGATTAAAGACCTAAAAAACCTAACTTTCCTCCCGTACACTTTGAAGTCACACATCAGGTCTCAGCATTTTTTCTGAAGTCCCAATGTACCTCCAGAGACATTTGTATGAAAAAAGACTAAGGCTGCCCTAAAGTTATTATTAATGAGACATGTTAAAGCAACGATTTGCTTCTCGAGGTGATTGTTATTTGCCTGCAGACCCAGACCCCCTAAACAGAATTTAAAGCAACAATAAACAAGGTGTGCTGCTTTCATCAGGAGGAGGAAATGGCAACTCACTCCAGTATTCTCGCCTGGGAAATCCCATGGACGGGAACCTGGCCGGCTAGAGTCCCCGGGGTTGCAAAAGAGTCGGACACACGACTTAGCGACCAAAACACAAACACTTTGATCTGGAAACCAGATAAAATACATGGCCACGACGGTTGGGAGAGCAAATCCTGTCTGACTTTGAAAACAACCGATTGAAGAAAATATCTTTCTACGAAGAAAACTTCCAAGAAAGTAGCGGACGATCCACGGCATCTCCACCCCCGGATGCCCGTCCTACTGCACTGGAGCGATCGGGGACACAGCGCTGGGGTCCAGCTGTGCTACCTGGAGCAGGGCCCTCAGCCCCTCCGGCCACAGAGGCTCCTGGGCTGGAGGCTGAACAGGGCGCCGTGGGGGTGGCAGCCACGCCGGCCGGCGACCCCGGGGTAGGCTTCGCGGGGGGGGGCCTTGACACGATCACAGAGCGGCCGGGCCGGACTTGGGCCTCCCGCAAGCACACCGCCTTCCAGTCGGGTCCGTTCGCCCAGACCCGGCCTCCGTCCCCCCGGTGCGGTCGGGTCCCTAGGCCGGCCTCGCCGGTCCCGGTCCAGCCCCTCAGCGCCCGCCGGACGCAGGGGCCGTGGCCGCCTCTCCCCTAGCCCGCCGCCCGCTGAACCGACCCCGACTCCTCGGCGGCTTCCCAGCCCGCGGGTGGCCACTGAGCGCGAGGCGGGGGACACGCCTGCCGCCCGCGCCCCGCTGGCCGCGTACCCGCCGCCCCGCCGCCGCCTCAGACGTGCTTCCGAGGACTAGGCCCGGACACTAATAGACGGACAGACAGGCAGCCCGACGGACGGGGGGCGGGGCACGGAGCCGGCGAGGGTGACGCCGATTGGCCGCGTCAGGCCAGGCCCCGCCCCCAGCTTGTAGAGGGGAGGGCCTGCGCACGCACTGGAGACGGTGGAAGCCGTTCGAAGAAGTTACGTGATCCGACGCACGGTGCCGCCGCGCGCCCCGCCGGCTGCGCGGGATTGCGTCACCCGCCGCGAAGTAGAGGCTGCGCCTGCGCAGAACACTGTGCCGGAAGCAGGGTGAGGGGGAAGGGCCAGGAGAGTCACGTGACCCGTGTGGGGGGCCCCAGCCGGGTGGGCGGGACGGCAGGAGGGCGGGACACCGCATGGGGCGGAGCGTCTGGTGGGTGGGGTCAAAGGGGGCGAGCCGGTGGGGAGGAACCAGGAGGGGGCGTGGCGTCGGGAGAGGGCGGAGCGGGGCCTGGAGGGGCGGGGCGCCGGGAGAGGGCGGGGCGGTGGGGAGGAGCCAGGATGAGCGTGGTACCTGGAGAGGGCGGGGCGCCGCCACGTGCCGCAGGAATCTTTAGGTCTAGTTGGGCAGCGCCAGGCGGAGTCGGGGTTGGGGTCGCTGTGGGCGCGCGGGCGGCCGGCGCGCGGGCGGCCATGAGTTGAGCCGGAGCCTCCTGTGCTCTGAGAACCCGCGAGCCTCGCACTTGGGCCATCGCTCCCGGGCGTGTGCGCGCATTCGGCTGTCCGCAGGCGATCCCGGGACCTGGGCTGCCCCCCGCCCACCCGCCCCATTCCGGAGGCTTCACGTCGCCGCTCCGAACCTCCCTTTGTCTTCATTTGTCCCAGAGGCCCAGCATATCCTGGGCCGACCTCTCATCCGGTGTCTTCTGGTTCAGTTTGCACAGTGTAGACAACGTCCAGAAACGAGGCAGATCCTCTGCATGGTCCTCGTCTAGAACAAGCCCTCTCTTACTGTCTCTGTACCAGTCTGGAAAACATCTGCCTGAAGTGGCTGGGATGTAGTGTGGACCCGGGTAGCGGGCCCGGATGCCAGGGTCTAGGCAAGGGCAGCTTAGGTAGCAGCCTCTTTTCCATGTTGTCAGGGCAGGAGGAATGGGAGCCATTGAAAATAACTATTTATCATCCTTCAGCTTCCATGTTTAGGACTATAAGCGCTCAAGTCCATCACGGAGTGGGAGGCCTCGCCCTGACGATCGCAGTGTCACTAGTGGAAGGAGCCCAGTACCAGGGAGCCTGGAGGTCCTGTGGCAGAAGACAGCTCAGCTTGCCATGGCCCGACGCTTCCTCCATACAGGGCACATGTCACACGGCCTTCCTGCCACCTGGCACTGTGCCCACCTGCCCTCCCTGGCTGCAGTCAGTGCAGAAGCCCGTGACCTTGGGGAAATGGGCCAGCCTCTGTTCACAGTGAAGCCCAAACAAGTATTTCCACCATCTGTTCCACCCTACTTTCTAGCTTCTGATTTGTAGGTAACGCACAATCTCTGCTTTCTACTGCAGCTAAAAAAACATGATGACTCTGCCAGTTCCCTGCCCTCCTCACACACTTGTGGGTTCTTCCTTCCTCCAGGTGCACTAAGAAGTGGATCCCACAGTTGTTCTCCTTCTCAGGAGGTTTTCCAGAAGTCATCCCAGTTTCTGGAGGTTGGTCTCAGGCCCAGGTGCAAGCCCTGAGAGTTTAGTCTCTCTCCAGCCTGGGAGTCTCCTTTCCTCCATCACCAGGGGCCCTGACTTCCTCCTGCAAACAGATCTCCTCCCAGCAACTTCACCCAAACTGGTCTCAAATCTCAGGATAATAACAACAGAGCATGCTTCATGGTTACAGAAGGTGGGCTGCTACTACACCATTCCCCCATTACTGATGTTAGTCACTGCTCACAAAACTCTGAGGGGGTAGTATTATTACCCCCATTATATGAATGAGGAGACTGAGGCAGAGGGAGGTTGGCCAACCTATCCAGGATCACACAGGGAGAGCAAGACAGCCAGGATTGAACTTCCATAACTCAGCTCTGTGCTGGCCACACGCCTCTGCCGCTACAGAACAGAGCTGTCTCTTGTTGGATCAGGTAGACATCAAATGGGAACCAGAGAGGGTATGATTAAGTATCAATAGCATCCTAGAAGTTCCATGTCTGGTTTGCGTGAATCCAAAAGTGAATACTGAAAAGTGTGGTTTCTAAGGTGCTGGGGGGACATGGCGGGGCTTCCCATTAAAGTCCAGCAATCCAGCCCTGCTGCCTGGCCACATTGCTGCTATCTCTCACCTATGTGCTCTCCTGGTATTGGTCTGCCAGTGACTGCTATGAATACTGGTGTACAAGAATCTGAGTCTGTGCTTTCATTTCTTTGGGGAATGTATCTAGAAGTAGAATTGCTAGATCATATGGTAATTCTCTAATTTTTTGAGGAACCCCCAACCTCTTTTCCATGACAACCACATCATTTTCCATTCCCACCAGCAGTGCATGGGGATTCCAGCTTCACATGCTCACTGATGGATGGAAACAACTTTAAACAAGGGATTTTTACACATACAGTGTCTTTAGCATGATGTTCTGTTTATTAAAACTCTCAATAGTTTCAAAAAATAGTTTTCAGTCTTCAAGATATATGCCCAAATAAAATGTTTCCAAGAAAAGTGTACATGCTAATGATAGGAGATAGGAAACATACAAACAAATAGCACCTTATTTGTGGGAAGAGTTCAGATTCCATTAAGCCATGTATGTTTTAAAAATACATATATCCTCTTATCATGAGCACCACATTTGGATAAATTTAATGTGGCCACACACATTTTGAAATCAACTTTGCTTCAACACAAGATGTCAAAATAGGTGATGCACCACTTTTTATAGGACAAGTTCATATAAAATGTAACACCATTGCAATCTTACTTTGTCACTAACAAAGAGTCTAAGTGTTTAAAAGAGCACATTAAGTATTTAGAATTGTTAAAAGTCCAAGTAGACATAGAAGCAGGATATGTGGGAAAAGCAGCCAAAATTCTGTGTTCTACCCAAGTTGGTTAGTGTTCAGAGCTGAAAGGACTTCTTTATTCAGGGTCATAATAGCTTTAATGATTAAAGTGAAGAAACTGGATGTGATTATTATAAGTTTTATCTTCAGTTCCCTTTAGAAACGCTACCTGATCAGGTTCCAAGGTAGAAATTACAGCAGGCTATTCAAAGAAGCTTTAGAAAATGAAGAAACACCAACAGCCTAATACAAAACAAAGAATACAAATGGACAACTCACATACATGTACGCATGGCAGAGCCATCACTATAAAAAGCAATGATAATGAATAGGACAAACTGACCCAAAGTTAAACACAACCTGTGATGCAGCAGAAGTTTGCATGGGAAATGCAGTCTCAGGGGAATAGATATTTATCTCTATGTAACGCCCTGTAGTCATCCTGAGGAAGTGGAGTGAACAACTTTCAGGTAATTATGTTAGTGAAAATTAGGAAACAACCTACTTGCCCAAAAGGATACAACTGAATATATCCATGCACTGGTTTATTATGCAGTCATTAAAACAACGTTTTAAAAAGAGTTTAATGAAACTCGTAATTATTCCACAATGTATGTTTATCAAATCATCATGTACACTTTCAAGACAGTTTGTCAGTTATACTTAAAGCTGAAAAAATGTTTGAGGAAACCCTCACTATACTGTAATGAATAAGGAAGGTATGCTGTTTTACCCAGGAAATGATCTGATTTAAAAGCGAATCTTTGGAACCAGACCTTAAGCAGCTCCCCACATCAAATTCTAAACTGCCCAGGGAGGGTCGCCGGAGCTGCCCACTCCGCCCACCCGGCGCTGACGAGGGGCAGGGCTGGAGCCTCGGGTTCCATTGGGTCCTTGGACGTTGCCAGTGAGGCTGTTGGCCGCCCTTCGTGCGCTGGGATGCGCGGCTTAGTGGCCAGCGGGTGGGCGGAGGCGGATCGGGCATCTGTGCCTGAGGCTGGTGGCCTCGCTGTTTGGGTTCAGGGTGGGGGCCCAGCCCTCTGTCCTACCCTCGGGGCGGCGGGGCCAGGCAGAGGTTTTCTAGCGCGGTCCGGCTGTACGGTCCACTGCGAGATCCGGTTCAACTGGGCCAGGCCAAGCTGTATTGGGTCAGCTGGGGCTCTATCATCAATGAGATGAGGCACGTCTTCACCTGCCTTAAATTTGGGCAGCGTTTCCAGACTAACTTCTCACAGGGCTAGGTGGTGATCTTTAATAAAACACCCCCCCATCTCCCCCCTGCCCCCCCCCCCGCTTTTTTTCCCCCGAGAATCCAGGATGTTTCAAAGTGGTATCTACTTGGATACTTCACTGGTAGGGTCAGGCTCAGGTCGGGACGCTCTGGGGCGGGGGAAGCCACTCCTCGAGGTGTCCGCAACTTAAATGCCCCTATTTCTGGCTGTGAAAACAGCCTTGATTATTAAATGAGATTTTAACTTAAAAAACATGATGCGCACATTGTATGAAAATCGACGAGGACATTCGGCATCAAGTGCCTTGTCTCCGCGTTAAAACTCTAGAACCCAGTCCCTAAGGACAGCCGTACTTAACGGTTTTGCCAATCCTTCCAGCGGTCTGTGCATATAGGGCAAGCCTATATGGAATCTTTTTGTCTTTTTAAACACAAAGCAAGTTTCCTCATTTGTAAAATGGGGCTGAAAATAGTGCAAAGTATTTTGAGCTGTTCTTGGGGTGTTGTTCTTGCTGCCTGTAACAACTGTTGTTAATGTTCTACCAAGTATTTGAACTTCAGAGACTCTCAAAGATTTTTCATATTTGTATCACAGGCAGGTCTGCCTCTTCAAGCCCCCTTCAGAGGGGCTGTGAGCCCCTGCTACACTGAAGTGCAGGCCTGCGTGCTAGCTGCACTAGCCCACAGAGCAAGTGATGTCTGACCTAGCCCTCAGTGGACTTGGGTCAGAGGGCAGCTGATGCCCTTCAGTGGGGCACCCTGATGACATGTGGCACTCACTTGTAGATGAGACAGTCCTGCATTCACCTAAAGCCCCTCAAAGCCTCGAGGGTTAGAAGGCTCTGTGTCTGGACCCTCCCTCAGCCAAGTTGATGCACCTCTAGCCCCCTGCACCAACCTCCGACATTGCTGAGTTTCTGTCACAAGCCTTTGGAGGGGAGGATTCTGTAAGAGGAGTTGGCTTTCTCTGAACCTGGATCTTTTTTCTCTTGGGGCACTGGAGTGGGTTTTCTGAGGCCTCAGCACTGCTTAGTTTGTGTGTGCTAAGTCGCTTCAGTTGTGTCTGACTCTGCGACCCTATGGGTTGTAGCCCTCCAGGCTTCTCTTCCATGGGATTCTCCAGGCAAGAATACTGGAGTGGTTGTCATGCCCTCCTCAGGGAATCTTCCCAACCCAGGGATCAAGCCTTTCTTACATCTCCCGCATTGGCAGGTGGGTTCTTTACCACTAGCGCCACCTGGAGAGCCCAAGACTGCTTAGATCTGGCCTTAGAAAACAGACCTCCTACACTGGGGGGTTCTTGCTCCCCTAGCAATTCTGAGCCCTGAGGACTCTGTCCACTCTCTGCTTGGCTTCTCCCAGAGGCCCAATGATCAGGCATCTGAGACACGCTACCACCACCCCCCACCCCACCTGCCACACACACTCACCGGGCTCTGTGTTCAGGCCTGCATCTCAGCCTGGGACACTGACCGGGGCTTGCCCTGAAGTACAGGCTGCCGCTGCCCCCCAACCTCTGTGCAGCAGCCACCAAACAACCTCCTGCCCTGTCCCTCTGTCCCACCAGCTCCCAGTCCAGTCCCCAAGGTCAGGCCCCTTTTCCTCTATCAGAGCGGAGTGAGAGCCTTCCTGACTCGGCAGCAATGCCCACCTTGCCCAGCCATCCCCGATAAGACACCATAGCTCAGGCCTAGAGGTCCCTACCATCTGTGCAGCCTACACAAGTCCCCCATTCCTAATCCTAACCCACAGCCCCCAAGCGGGACCTTTGATTACAGATTTACCTGGGGAAGCCGCATGTCTGCCAGGAGCTCATCTATTAACCAAAGGATGATGGAAATGGCTCATTTTTTTGGAGAAATGGGGTGAGTTGGTCCTCAGGGTCAGTAAAACCAGCATCTAATTCTGATGCCCCCTGGCCCCACCTCAGTACTTCTTCCTCTTAAAAGCAGTTCTCCTCTTTGTAAGGGAGTAGTCAATGGAGCTTCCTTGTTTACAAGTAGTTATTAGCTAACTCCAGGTATCTTACCTGTTTTCATCTATGTAACTCCCAGCACAGGTGCGAACTCCCAGTGCTGGTCCAGCCACCCAGGTAGGGGGTTCTCTATTAATAGACAGCTAGGGGGCTTTTGTAAAATGCCAAAAACGCTCAGGCCCACCCTCTGAGATTCAGGAGTAGTTAGACCAAGATGTGTGCCTGGTGATTTTCGAAGAGTCCCAAGGGTGTCCTCTGTGTGCGGGCTGAGTCTGGCTCTGGTACACCTGTGTACACACCTGTGTCTGGGGCAGGTGCTCAGCCCTGGATCTCAGTCTCTGCAGTACCTTCTGCTGGCCTTGCAGCTTTAACCCTCGTTCCCCTGGGCCCCTCTCCCCAGTATTTCCCAAACACATCCGCCAAGGGGAAAAGAAGCAACATTTGTATGAACCTTTTATTCATCAGAATTTCCAGAACCAGAGTCTCTACTGGGCAAATAGAAAAATAGAATATTTTACTACTTCAAAAAGGCAGCTGTGACAAACAACTGTATGCCCAGACAGGGGCCCCTCAAGCTTGAGTGAGCCCAGGGTTCAGGCTGGGGGTGTCCTGCCACCCCGCTAGCAGGCCCAGTCCTGGAACCGGAAGCAGTCGCTGGCGATCTTCCACACTGTGTTGCTGGGTGAGGCCTGTGCTGTCAGGATGAAGTTCTGGTTGAAGTCCCGCTGTTTGTTGCCCTCAAACTTCACTGTCCCACAGATCACCACAAGGACCGTGGTCTGGCTCGGGGTGGCTTCATCGTGGACAGGCTGGCAGTCTACCACATTGATCTGGAACTCGCTGGAAGGCAGCATCTCAAAAAACTCACTCAGGGACTCTTGCCCGGAGACGGCGTTGCCATTCCACACCAGGGTGGCCGTGCCCATGTACAGGCGGGACAGCAGCCGCCGCCGCTTGTCCATGGTGCTATAGTACACGTTCACGAACTCCTCAGCCGCGCGGCATGCCTGGTCCACGTAGGTCTTGAAGTCCACGGACGCCATCATTGGCCCCGCCAAGGAAGGCCTTGGCCCAGGTGCCTCCTGTACCTGAGGGGGCTGGAAGGTGGAAGAGACCCTGTGTGAATGCTGATGACCATCACGCTCCACACGGGACCAGTCCTCCCACTGTGGAGAAGCGAACTTCTAGGCGCACCCTGCTGCCAACGCCTTGTCCGCCTGGGCCCCAGCTTGCTCATTTGAGACAGGAACATCCCTACCTGTGCATGACTGCAGCGCAGGATGAAAGGAAGCAGGAGACACCACGCACTCAGTTAAAAAGCCTGAGACCCACACGGTCAGCAATGACAGCTATTACTATGAATTTTAACAATCTTATTTTATAACCTATAGTACAACTGACTGTGGAAGGCTGCTTTTTCCTGGAAGTGTGGAACAGCTGTGACTGCCCTCATGTGTCTGGTGCAGACACCACACTCTGGAGAAGGGAACAGTGGCCCAATGAAGGCCGATCTATCATGAGCTCACCTACCGGGCCTGGGAGGGTGAAGAGAAGGCGGGTTTCCTAACAGGGCAAGAGAACAAATGTCGTGAGGACAGGACAGGACCAATACTGGTGGCCACAGTTCTCACTATGGGCTCTATCTAAGGAGCAAGGCTGGAGTTGACTGGAATGAGCGAAGACTCAAGAGCTCCAGGGAGCACAGGGGAGTCCCGTGAGCCAAGAAAGGACAGACAGAAGGAAGAGACTCTGTGGGATGAGGGGGTGGTCACAGCAAGGAAGAATTTCAGCTTTAGCCAAAATGAAACATTTCCTTAAAAAAAAAAAAAGGTCCAAAAGCATAAGGAAAAATTATTTGCTTTTTTTTTCAGAGTATACAATAACTATTGTAGTTGTATTCTTTTTTGCCTGATTAAAATATTTCACTACACAAAAATCCAACCGAGGACAACATTACTAAAATATTGGATGCATTTAGATTTACAAACTTAAATACTGAGTATTTTTTTTTTTTTCATTTCAACGTTGTGCCTGCATGCTCAGCAGTGTTCTTTCGACTCTTTGCGACCCCATGGATTGTAGCCCACCAGGCTCTTCTCTCCATGGGATTCTCCAGGCAAGAATCCTGGAGTGGGTTGCCATTTCCTTCTCCAGGGGATCGTCTCAACTGAGGGATCGAACCCGCATCTCTTATTTCCTGCACTGCAGGCGGATTCTTTACGAGAGCCAAGGGGAGTGTCTAACTTAAAAAAAAAAAATCAGCTTATGAAAGAGATAAGATCCCAGGCAAGGATAAGAGGCAGTCAGGGAGAGGAAGGTGGAGAACTGGCCAGGGGGAAGAGGGGGTAGGCGGGGAGAGCTCCGGCCGTGAAAAGAGCGCTGAGGGCCAGGCGCCTACGCGGGTCCTACCACCCCCTCGGGGCGGGGGTGGGGCCTCAAGTCCAGCCTCGTAAACACTCGCTCCAAACTCTACTTCCCAGAGCTTTATATACACCTCGTCATTCAATGGTCACCGCGAACTGATGAAGCGTTACTGTAACTTCGCAACGAGGAAAGAAAACCCAAGTGTGGACGAGGTCGCGGGTGGACACGCCCCTGATCTGTCCTCTACTAGAACACTCTGCCTGCCGGGACTGCGCGGTCGTTTCAACGGCTCCTGCCTCTCTGGGGTCCAGTCTGGGGGCGCAGGGTTCCAGGATGGCCAGTTTGTAACCTCCCAGTCCGGGCCCGTCTCCCTCGCTGGACACCACCCCCTCGCCCCCAGCCAAGCCCCCATCAGCCGGCGTCCAAGCCGATCACCGGCATCTCGGGCCTCCGCAGCTCAACCAGCTGCCCGCCCGGGCGTCCTCAGGGAGCGGTAGTTTCTGCGGGGCTGCGACCGCCCTAGACTCGCGGCGAGACCAGGCGGCATCCACGCCATGCGGGGGCCACGGACGGTGGGGCACCTCCTACGTACGCGGGGATCATCTCACCTGCGCGGGGTTCATCTACGAGACCAGGGAGCGCCGACCTGCGCAGGGGCACCTACCTGCGCGGGAGTGACCGCCCTGCTCAGTGCGGGAGATGACCGGGTCAACGGGGGCCTCAGTTGGCCGGGCAGGTGCGGGGGAAATCACCGCAAGGGTCAGCGTGGGCGGCTCCGTTCACGCGGCTACGCGGAGCCCCCTGTACCGCAGGCCGAGCCAGCCGAAGCTCCGCGGTTCTCTGCCGCCTGCCCAAGGCGGGCCGGGAAGAGCCGCCTCCGCCGCACCCCTCCCTCCGGGGACCTGCCGGGTCCAGCCAGAGCCTCTGCGGGTTCCCGCGCGCGGCCGGCCAGAAACGCGCAGACTCGAGCGCCCGGCTCCGCCTCCGCCGCCCGACGGATAGCCGTTCCAGCCAGTGGGGCGGACGACCGTAAGGCTAGCCCCGCCTAAGTGTGGCACGGGAAGGGCAGCTTCCGGGAGAGGCACGTTCCCAGAAGACCGCGCGCTCGAGTCTTCATTGGGCTATAGACGCCGGTCCGAGGTTAGGTGCGGCCTCTGATTGGACGAAGCCTCGCAGGTCCCTGGCTCTAGGCGGGGTGGGGGGAGGGAAATGCTCTGGGGCCGTCTCGCGGCTGCGCGGAAGCTTCCAGGCAGGAGTTAACTGACCCTGCCGTCTGTTCTGGGTGTGTTCACCTTGGCCACACTAGGGCGCTTCTTTGCCTGCTTTCCTAACGGAACGGTTTCTCTCAGAGCTCAGGACCAGTTTAGAAAGTGGATGCGCTCTTCAATGTTGGCTCCCGCGCCCCACCACCCCAGTGAAAAATGTGGTTTATAAACAAATAAGTTGCAGGTTGAGTAGAAAGTTGAATTGAACTAGTGTCTTTGGAACCGTATTCACAAGACAATGTCTTTACAAAACCCGATCCAGTGAAATTGGGATTTAATCTACAAAACTCCGAATCCCAGCATCACTAGTATGAAAACGAGAGTTGACCTCCTGCACGCCCACTGGGTTGGATGTCGCTTTTAAGTTTTCGTATGTTTCCCATGTAAACCCGTTTCATTTCATTCTCATAATTTCAGGGAGACATCATTGTTCCCGATTTTATAAACTAGGAGGTCGAGAGACAGAAATTAAGTGACAGCCTGGAGTCACAGAGCCTCTTCAGTCCTAGAAGCACTGGTCGGGAGGATATTTAACCAGCACCAGGTTCTGATGAAAACCAGAGTTTAATCCTGAGAGGCAGCCCCGCCAGCAGCAGGAAGATGGGAGGTCGGGAGCTTTCAGATTAGTCTCTACCATCTAAACTGTGCCTGATCCACAGCAAGGGCTCGGTAAATACTGTTTGAATGAGCAGAGTTCAAATCATTGCTCCACAACATTCTAGTAGGCTTGCAAGCAAGCCTGTTTTATACTCTCCGGTGCTTCTTGAGTTTAGAAAGTTAGAAACACTCCTGGCTCTAAGGCAGCAATTCTGGGGTGGTGGGCTGCCTGACTAGGGCCGCTGAACCTAGAGGAGTTTCCCGAGGGGGTTGGAAAAGATGCTATTTCTCTTTTTCCTTCTGGACACGTGATGTGTGGTGGTGCTGCTCCAGCCATCTTCCTATGCCAAGGGGGGCACCCTTGTACCATGAGGCAGACCAGAAAGAGGGGGAGAAAGCAGACTTTGATGACTGTTTGGGGAACCAAATCAACCCTGAAGTTTAGGCTTTCTAGTTTCAAGAGTCAGTAAATTCCCTTTATTATCAGTACTGTTAAAATTTGGGCATAAACAAACACAGTGTTAGTTGTTAGTTGTGTCTTAGTCTTTGCAACCCCATGGACTGTAGTCCACCAGGTTCCTCTGTCCATGGAATTCTTCAGGCAAGAATACTGGAGTGGGTATTCATTCCCTTCTCCAGGCGATTTTCCCAACCCAGGGATTGAATCTGGGTCTCCTGCATTGCAGGTGAATTCTTTAGCAACTAAGCTATCAGGGAAGCCTGTAAACAAACCTGTTTGTAAGTTAATTAGTGTGGCTTCCTGCACTAGCAGAGTGATTGTGCAAGTGAGTTAACCTTCTTGAGGTTCAGTGCCTCGCGTGTAGAAGAGGGAGAGTAATGCCCTCATTTCCTTGGGTCAGGAGCTACTGGAAGAGGGTGTGGTCAGTGCTAAGCCCAGGGCCAGGCACAAAGCAAGCATCCAGGAATCATTGGTGTGCTTTGACATTTTGCATTGACAACAGCTTCCTTATTTGCCAATGATCCTTCCAACAACTGGCTTTTAAACTTGGAACAAGTGTACCGACAAATTGGTCGGATTTGTCACCAAACCACATGGGCGCCTTCTGGAAAATGAGTCTGGCTTGAACAACCATGGAGCCAGTGGCCTGTTTGCCTCATGGAGTCTGTCCAGGGAGGAAGGACGCAGCTGGTCAGACGTGCCGAGCCGCTGGCAGCTCTAAAGACAGGCTGGTATCCTTGGGTCTGTAAACCCGGGACTGAGCTGCTCCCCTTATCGGCATAGTTCTCTGCTGCAGGATCTGATGGCGTTTGTTTGCTTGGTAAAGCTGCGTGACTTGGATCTGATCTCCTTGGATCTGATCTCCATGGTCCATGGTGAAGGCTGGGCAGTTGTGCCTGCAAAACAGGATGAGCAGCACCATCATGTGCTGTTCTCTCCCCCCTACCACCCCCCCACCCCTTCACCCCCCCCACTAGAGGAACTATTAAAAATTGAGCATAAACAAACATAATTTTAGTTGTTCAGTCATGTCTTATTCTTTGCAACCCCTTGGACTGTAGCCCACCAGGCTCCTCTGTCCATGGAATTCTTCAAGCAAGAATACTGGAGTGGGTAGCTATCCCCTTCTCCCACCCCCACCCCCACCACTGGAGGAATCATCCTAACTGCTGCTGGACCAGAGTGAGCTGGGACTGCATTTCTGGAAGGTCACTTTGGACCTGTCTTTTCTGGGGGTCCTAGGAAGGCAGGGATAACAGAAGTCCATTAGTTTAGGAGCTGTGTGTGGCCAGGAGCCCAGAGGGGAGGTGTGAGCAAGAGAGAGGTAGGGACGGAGAAGGGGAGCAGGAGTGTAGTGTGTGTGTGTGTGTGTGTGCGCGCACACACACACACACACACACACACCCCAGAGAGGAACAGCAGAACTACCGAGGAAGCAGTCCTGGGAGTGGGCTGCCTTAGAAATGTACCCTCCAGTTCTGGTCGGGCTGCTGGGGCTGGTGTGGCTCAGGGCAGACATATGCCTCCCTGCCAAGCCCTGCTCTGATAGGTGGCAGACTCCTGAACAAATAAATGGCTGGTTCCCTGGGATGCACTGAGGATTGTGTGGTCTGTGCAGCACTCTCGGAGGCCCACTGAAGCCCCGCACAGAGGCCCGAGGAAAGCCTCTGGAATAGCACCTCACAACTGTATGACCTGGGTGGGCCACTTGCCGCTAAAGGGACCCTGAAGACAAAGCCCCTCCAGGCCTTTCCTAGTGACACCGCCTCAAGGAGCTGCCCACAGTCCGAAATGGCACTCTCCTTATCTCTGAAATTGCACCCAGATGAAAGTTTGATCATCTGCAGCCTGAAGCTGTGTCCTGGGTACTAGAGCACCGTGAGACCAGTACAGGCTCTGAGGGAGCAGAGGAGATGGGGGCCCTGGCGGCATGGATGGGGCCGGGAGTCTGGAGCCGCGACCAGGACCAGGGGTGATGGTGGATGATGTGATCTGAAGGGTCTGCATTCCCAGGAGGGAAAGTGTCACTAGGGAGGACCAGACACGGCCCCCTGAGCACAGCTCTCTCCAGCAGTACTGCCCACGTTCGTCCCATAAGCTTTCCACCTGCTTTGGTGTCTCCCACTGGGCCGCTGGATCATAGCCAGACTGGCCTGGAGCTTCCTTTTTCTTATGGATGACATTGTACAGGAGGCAGGAATCAAGACCATCCCCAAGGAAAAAAAATACAAAAAGGCAAAATGGTTGTCTGAGGAGGCCTTACAAATAGCTGTGAATAGTAGAGAAGTGAAAGGCAAAGACAAAAAGGAAAAATATACCCATTTGAATGCAGAGTTCCAAAGAATAGCAAGGAGAGAGAAAAAAAAATTCTTCCTCAGTGATCAATGCAAAGAAATAGAGGAAAACAACAGAATGGGAAAGTCTAGAGATCTTTTCAAGAAAATTAGAGATCCCAAGGGAACATTTCATGCAAAGATGGGCACAAGAAAGGACAGAAATGGTATGGACCTAACAGAAGCAGAAGATAATAAGAGGTAGCAAGAATACACAGAAGAACTATACAAAAAAGATCTTCACGACTCAGATAATCATGATGGTGTGATCACTAGCCTGGAGCCAGACATCCTGGAATGCGAAGTCAAGTGGGCTTAGGAAGCATCACTATGAACAAAGCTAGTGGAGGTGATGGAATTCCAGTTCTATTTCAAATCCTAAAATATGATGCTCTGAGAGTGCTGCACTGAATATACCAGCAAATTTGGAAAACTCAGCAGTGGTCACAGGACTGGAAAAGGTCAGTTTTCATTCCAATCCCAAAGAAAGGCAATGCCAAAGAATGCTCAAACTGCCACACAATCACACTCATCTCATATGGTAGTACAGTAATGCTCAAAATTCTCCAAGCCAGGCTTCAACAGTACACGAACTGTGAAATTCCAGATGTTCAAGCTGGATTTAGAAAAGGCAAAGGAACCAGAGATCAACTTGCCAACATCTGTTGGATCATTGAAAAAGCAAGAGAGTTCTAGAAAAACATCTTCTGCTTTATTGGCTATGCCAAAGCCTTTGACTGTGTGGACCACAACAAGCTCTGGAAAATTCTTAAAGAGATGGGACTACCAGGCCACCTGACTTGCCTCTTGAGAAATCTGTATGCAGGTCAGGAAGCAACAGTTAGAACTGGACATGGAAAAACAGACTGGTTCCAAATCGGGAAAGGAGTACATCAAGGTTGTGTATTGTCACCCTGCATATTTAACTTATATGTTGAGTACATCATGAGAAATGCTGGGCTGGAAGAAGCACAAGCTAGAATCAAGATTGCTGGGAGAAATATCAATAACCTCAGATATGCAGATGACACCACCTTAATGGCAGAAAGTGAAGAAGAACTAAAGAACTTCTCGATGAAAGTGAAAGAGGACAGTGAAAAAGTTGGCTTAAAACTCAACATTCAGAAAACTAAGATCATGGCATCCAGTCCCATCATTTCATGGCAAATAGATGGGGAAACAGTGGAAACAGTGACAGACTTTATATTTTTGGGCTCCAAAATCACTGCAGATGGTGACTGCAGCCATGAAATTAAAAGACGCTTACTCCTTGGAAGGAAAGCTATGACCGACCTAGACAGCATACTAAAAAGCAGAGACATTACTTTGCCAACAAAGGTCCATCTAGTCAAGTGAAAGTGAAAGTCGCTCAGT